CATTTCGATGGCTGGGTGTGGCAGAATTGAGGTTTGACTCCAAGTCTGCCTGACTCTCAGACCTCTCCTTCCAACGCTGTTCAGCTCACCGACAGCGCGTGTTCTTATACGCTAATTCCTCATATGACTCTGATAATGTGCCTGACTCACTGGACCTCCATTAGGTATCTGATTTGTTCTCATTAAGATTCCCTTTGGCTTTTAATAGACATAATAGAAGCCAGTAGAATTGTTCTAGTACTGTACTATCATGTTACACAAATGACTTTGTCTTAGGAAAGAAAATGTGTTTGTACATAGTTAGATGTAGCCTATAATCGTCCTTAAGTATGACAATATGAGAGTGAAGGATACCATGAAAGTAAAGTGCTGGAGCGACGTTAAATCTCAAGTCCCATTAATGTGTACAGAAGTGAGCATGTTTTCACAGTTAAATAAGAGAGTGGTTCACAGGCTCGGAGGCTTTGGAATAGCATCAGAAAGAGAATTATCTACCAGGTGATGACTACTTACTTCTAACCAGTATAATCTTTATGGAAAATCTGTATTTTTCACTAGCTTGCATTCATAAAGACTCAAAAGGAAAATGACTAGTTTCCTGGAAAAACACATGGTGCTCTTCCTCAGAAAATTTTTCCAAGTATAGCGAAATTCGGTATATTTAAAAAGAATACTTGGTATATTCTTGTAAAAATAATCAGTGGCCTCGTGTGCTTTGGTTCTTCACTATTCATGGTGGCTTCTTCTTATTCCTACACACGATGCTGAATGTGTTCGGCCCACGGCATTCACACATGAAGGCTATGGATCATTTGGCTCCTGGATACTAAGGCCCCACCTTCAGGCAGCAGGAGCTCAGGTGCGGTCAAAGAATCTGAAGTTCTCACCGTGGGGCCCAGCATGCAGGCCGGCCCTCGCTGGTGACTGTAACGATGGAGCCCCCCAGGCAGAGGTGGAGCCATCTGGGAGTTGGCACCGTCCACTGGCTGTCAATTAAGAGTAAACATTCCGGAGAGGGGCTAAGGTTTCCAAACTCAGGGAGCCTAAAGGACAAAATAGACTACTTGGGGTATTTCCTGTGCGAATTTCAAAGCAGCATATTTGACGTAGTAATAGAAAAGATAAATAAAAATAAATGTCATCCACCGCAACTAAGTCATTTGACTCTAATCACAAAATGAAATCATTGGGCACATTGGGCACGAAACCCTGTACAGTGAGAAGGAGAGGGAGCGAGAGAAATGCATTGACCACCCAGGTAGCTTGCCCCGGAAGAGTAGTACACACAATCCCATTTTAAGCAAATTCAGGTTAAACCTGGGGCATAACCTTCATAGGCGCCATTTGTTACTTCTGTTTAAAATATCTCTAAAAAAAAACTATACAGCCCTCAATGTTTTCTTACCACTTAGATGGTGTGTCCTTCATTCTGAACAATGTATGAGCTGTAAATGGATTAATTTCAAAATAACACTAGCCATTACTGGATTAAAATTATTCCATGAAAAATCTCTTGGACAGCTTCTCACATGAACCAAGCCAAAACTTTGCCCTGAAGTTTCTTAGATGGCCTCGGTGCTTAAATTCGAGTCTGTGAAAATAAACTGACACACAAAATCTTGGCCAAAATTGATGAAAGGGTTTGCCTCTGCTCCCCTTCAGAACAAGCTGCCTGAAAATCAAAAGAATTCAAGCAGAAGAACAAGATTACGGGCACAAAGTCATGTTGGTGCCTATGCAAGAGCAGTCAAACATCTCTGCAGGACCCTCATTCAGGAGTTCAGCTACCCAGTCTATTGTCAAATACATGTTGGGGATATAAGGCTGCTCTGATCCATAGAGGAAATGGGGTGGCTAATAACGGAAAGAAATTCAAGCAGAATTAAAAGACTATAGACACAAATTGATGTTGTCGCCCTTACGGGACCAACGGACACAATCTATTGCCACATGCATACTGGGAACCAAGTTGCTCTAACCCAAACAAAAAGGAAATCCACTGCTATACACAAATTAGGATACATACAAAGTTGCCTCTTATATATAACTTTGGCAAGAACTAAATTTAAGTAAATACAGTTCCACAACCCCTGTTGACAATTATTTTGACACTCCAAGGCACAGGGTTTTTGTTCTGGGTTTTTCCGCTGAGGTTCAAGGTAGTCTGCGTTTTATTGTCAGTTTTCACAGTCTTGGACCTGGTTCAACTCCAATTTAAGGACATACTTGAAATAGTCTCTTCTGGTAGCATGCAAACACTCTAGGAATTTGAGGCTTTCCAGAATAATCTGTGCTTGTTATATAAGTAAAAGAAAGATTCTTTTTCAGAAACAGGACAAAAGAGATGAGACTCACTTCAGTTTAAATTGTCTAAAGAGAGTTCTCAGCTGTGGATTTGTTAATGGCTTTAGTACAAATAATGGAAATAGAATCATGCATTTTTATTAGTCACCCAAGAAGCTCTCCAGCTTCAGGTCCTTCTAGAGGGCTCAGTTACCATGGCTCTTCTTTTAACAACTCGGAAAATGTCTTGCCTGATTAGGAAGTTAGTCATTTCACATTCTGACATCTAAACCATCATGAAGTCTGAAAACCTCACAAATTACGTTTATAAGTAACAGGATCCATCGCTTTAAAGATGAAAGCTCAAGGATTTGTGGTGCCCGTCTTTGTTCCTGCCAATCCCATTTTACTTTTTAAGTGTGAGACGTTTTGTAAACATGCGCAGTTGAATTCAAGCAACAAATGTTGACAGTTAGTTCCCTAACTTGGTCTAAAAGCACTATTATTTTTTACTCATAGATTTTGTACCCTGAGAGCCTGACTTTCGAAGCTGGTTTGGTATTTTCTCAATCAACATTGTCCCAGACGACTCTCCTTGTCATTCGTTTTTAAACCTTAATACAGTTTTAAACATAAAGCTTTATGAAAAGGGGTGATCAAGTAGAATTTGGGAAATGCCCTTCCAGCCCTCAGTTTCGTGAGAATGTTTATGCCTTCTTGTTTCAGCAGTGGCCTGCGCCTTGGTCACAGACATCCCCTGAGGCCTTTTCATTTATTTTGTCCATTTAAGGTTAACATATTAGGAGTTTTGCTACTGAGAGATTGAAATAAATAGTTTGACAGAGGTTTCTCAAGGCTCCTGCATGGACTGCTGCCTCCTACCCCAGCTTCATTGGCATTTCTCTGATACAGGTGGTGTGAAGGCTACCAAGGAGAGTCTCTTAGCAATGTGTCATATTTTTCTGTGTATTTTGGGAAAAAGTGGGGGAGGGGGATGTGCCAGGTTATTTGTACACACTGTAAAATAAGGGATAAAATTTGTCATGATAAAGTTTCCCCCTATCACATTTTGAAGTCAATTGGCCTATGAAATTTTATTGTAAAATCCACTCTAACATCATGGTACTAGACATTCAGTGTTCTATATGACACTGAACACAACCAGGTGATACCAAAACACTACAAAACAAGAATACCATCTGCATCATTCTCAGTTTATAACTCTAAAAAATAAATGGGGATGAATATCAATACTGTGATTCTATTCATTCTCTATGTTCATTGCCCTAGTATTTCTTGAGTACCAAAGTATTAGTTAATTCAATCTAGTCATAAAAGATAAAATCCTTTTCCTCTTCATTCAGAATTATCTCATATTATTTAAGAGTATTTTTTCATGTTATTTTATGTCATCATCCCCCCTGCAGAAGAAAAGATAGGTATTCTTATATGTAGCAGGTGTTCACATTTTGACTTTATCATTAGAATTTCACAGTAGTAATGAGCAAAGCCAAGCGTTCTATCAGAGGTGAACTTCAATGGCCATATTGAAAGAAAATGATAGACGATGACTAGAGCAGACACACGAAGACAGGAGGGATATTCTGAAAGGTGGAGAGGACAAGCACCGGGGCAGACAGAGACAAGAAAGCCAGGGAGCTCATTTGGTGCTCTTTATCAAGAGACGAAAGAAAAACGTATTTATCGGAAGTCTTTCTGGACAAATCATGGCAGATGATTTCATGTCAGCGTTACCCACACTTGTCCAAAAAGTATAAATAAATCGATAAAATTTTCAGGTGTTAGAGTACTAATGTACCTACAGACTCAGTGTGGTGTTGGGGAAGTTCACATCCATCTGACAGTAGGCCCCACCCAGGAGCAGAGGCACATGGCTGGGGTTTAGCATCTTTGGGGAGCTCCTGCTCTTCTAAGATTTCCTTCCTATCTGTGACAGCATGTCCTCCTCTGAGTTGGATAAATCGGAAACTCTGAAAATGGGCTAAGACAGTATGCCAAGGAAAGAACTATGTCATCTCACACGTCATAAAAGAATACACACCATTAAAACCTTTTTTCTACAACAAGTACTATTCTGTCAACCATTATATATTAAACACTTTGTAGGGAAAAACCATAGTATCTGATACTAAAACAGAAATGGATTCTATAGTAACCATTTATTTCCTGCATCCTAAGAATAGATGAATCTTACTTTCCTTGACTATTTGTTCAAAATATATATTAAATACATTAAATATGCCCTAGTAATAAATTAACTCAGTAATAAATTGAATACAATAATTTGAATAATGTACAGTAATTATTTCAAAGTTCAGATTGTAAAATTCTGAAAGATGACACTTAACAACTAATGGTCTTTTCAAGCTTAAAAAACAAAACCTGTTAGCATAAATGTTTATGAAAGAAACTGAATTTCTTAAAATGAGAATGTCTCTCCATTTTCATCCATTAAAGGTCGCCATTAAGTAACTTAAGTTTATGGTTACGATCGTAGGACCAATAATAATAGAAATTTAACTTCAACAGAATTATCAATTCTGCTCACCTTATTAAACCCTGATTTAAATAAGACCAATGATAATGTGATATTAACTCACAGGTAGACCAAAAACCAAACAAAAACCAATCACACGTTCATGCTATTTTGTTCCACATGCTGGTGAACAAATTAATACATCATTTTTTTCCTACAGGAAAACTGAAGACTTTAATAACAAACCCTCCAAGGTCAAAATGAATACAGGTACGCCCTCTCTGTTAGTTTCCCACTTTTCAGCCTTGCTCTCTAAGTCACCTTGGCCCTCAATCACTAGCTCTGCTGATCCTAAATGTGACACTGAGTTTCTGATTAGATGGGTAGCAAAAATCCATTACTCTATTTCTTCGTCTTTGTGCTTCAACCTTTTAGCAACCAACAGTAGAATTTGTGGCTTTATCTACTCTTACTCCCTTTTTCTGTAAATCATATCATGAAGTTTATTCCTGCATATCCTAGGAAGAGGTAGTACGTCATTTGCATGCATACATTTGAAATCCCTCTTAGAATGGGTTAAATTCAAAGGCAAGTTGCTCTAGTAGAAAATATTTAAAGTTTTCCATTCTGTTAACCCTTTATGTTGACAGTCAGCAGATACTGCCAAAGGTTCATGTGAAATCAACTTAATCCATAGGCACGCTACACCTAAAGTCATAAGCATTACATTTTTAGTTGTGAGAACAGTATCTTCAATTAGTATAACAACCTAAATGCCTCCGAACTCTACAGATTCACTGTAAAAGTGTTTGTGAGACATGCTATGTACATATGGATTTTTTCCATAGTAGAAATGTGTTAGCATGCATTTTCGCCTTCCTCCCACCCCCTGAAATCTTTATAATCATTCTTAAGTAAATCTGGAAAACAACTCTCTCATACTGTCTCCCGTCTACAAGTAATCACTGGAAAGTTTGCTGTCTCCTGTTGTCAAAGTGCCTCATGGAAGGATTAGCAACCACTGGTAAGAACCAGAGTCTAATCCCTAGATCAAGTATAGATTCATGCCCCACTCACTGCCTATTATTCTGCGGCCACCCTTAGCAGAAACCTGCTCTGACTGACCTCTGAACTCTAGACCAGCTGGCCCCTAAGGATGTAGTCAACTCAGAGATTCATAGACCAACAGTTAAGATAGGATACTGGAGAGAGTCAAAATGTGCAAAGAAGACCCAGAAATGAAGAGAAATTTTAACCCTAGAAATGAACCAAGTAAACGCATTTGGACAACTGGAGGTGTGGGAATTGGACGTGGAAAAATAAAAAGAAGAAATAATATTAAGCAAAGGAGATTGAAGAAAGCAAATAGAATAGGCAATCCAAAGCTGAACAAGGATAAGTCATGCTGTGAAAATGCAGTCCCTCCAGCAGCAGAGCGTCCACATGAGGTAGTTGTGTTTCCACAGCTTTTAATAACTCTGGGAAGTCACAGAATTTCCATAATCCTTCTGAGGCATCTTCTTACAGGCTTACATTGTCTTAAGACATAACTTGCTAATATATCTTTCATGTTGTGGATTGCTGATTTTCCTATTTATTATAACCCTATTATGACAGAGCTATAATATGTGATTATACTGAAGATACCATATTCATGTACAAAGCATTCAATAATTAATCTTCCTAGTCATAGAATTCAATCCCTAATGGCAAAGTAGGCAAATAGAAATTCATATATTTGTTTATGTCTCTGGGGCCCTTGAGCCAAGTTACCGCTATGGCAGCATGAATATAACCAACTAAGCATCCTCTCCTTTAAAAGGAATGAGCGTGGCTCTGCATAGAATGCTAATGTGCACAGTTATTTTGTTCACATAGGTGGACCTACATAAACATTTGTATGTAAAATATGATATTCAAACTTATACATACAAAATTGGTAAGAAGAGATCAATGTTTTGTTCAAATTTTCAAACTAATACTATGGTGTTGCTTAAAAACATACCACTTGGAAAAAATATGTGTAATCATTGCCATAGGAAGATGAAGAAAGCATTGTTGCTTTATCTACAAAACAAAGTAAAAATTATACTTAACTCTAATAAATAAAGTTCATCTTATTATCTACCTTCCCATCATTAAAGATATATATATATATATATTACTATTTAAATATCCATGTCAGTCACTAAGATTTTTTAAAAAGGATTATTTTAAAGCAAATACATAATAAATGAACCAAAGGAAATATATTCATTTTTCACACTGAAGTATCTGAAATATGTATGAAAATATAGGGCCCAGCACGAAAACACCCCTTTTTATTACAAAACCTTTTATTACAAAAATCATAAGCATGTCATTCTGTAGCATAGCAATATCACACTCAAGCACACCATATGACATTTTAGGTAAAACGTTCAAGTTAAAACTATAAATTATTACACCCATATTATGACCCTACCAACTACACTCAAGCAAGTGTTACTTCTGCCAGACCCTGTATATCTATAAAACATGGTATATTTCCACTCCAAGAATTTGTGAACCATAATTTTCTAAGGCAAATATTAGCTGTGAAAAGAAGGAAAGAGAGAAGACACGAAATAACCCATTGTACGTGATTTACCCAGCTGAGTGTTTTCAGCCCTGGAAACAGCCTCCAAGAGTCTTACATCTTGGAGGAAGAGGGTGCAAGTCATTGATGCCTGGAGTCCTGTGGGTCATCCGTGAGCATGAGGGTGAGAAGAGCACTAGGGTATTCGGGACGACCCGAAATCTGCAAAACAGCATCCTCATTCTGAGATCTTAAAAATGTCTTCAAGAAATCACAGAAAGTATCAACACACACAAGCAAGTGGAAGCGGAATATAATAGATTTCTCTGTTCCAGCAATCTGACACATGCCTCAATTTGTCAAATTAAGCTCTTTATGAAACTGTTGATAAAGACAGATTCTCCATGTATTTCATCCTGATCTTGAGTTACTTAGAATGCAGAAATTATTTAACCCAGAGGTTTCCACACTCTCTTGGGTTGCAGTGTGAAGGTATCTCAGTAATGTTTCCCTGCACTCCCAAGCCAAAAGAAATATCCAACAGTTGCATTTACTAGGTAGCTAGGTGCAAACAACTTAATGAGTACATATGTTCTGTCAACTCAGAGGCAATTTGAAAAAATAACATGCTTCAATTGAAAAAAATAATTATTTCATTTTATTCTTTATGACCACGGTCATGAATGGAATGTGGGTGTTTGCTGGGCACTGCAGAGCTCCGCAGACCTCGGAGTTGGATTATACGTCACCAATCTCACTTCCTGCTCCATAACTACAGGGCTCCTGCTTTTTGTCACGGCAATCACCAAAAACCCAACCTTTCAAAGATAGGGTATCATCTAAAGAAAGATAGCACAGTTTTTATTATGGTCCAACTGGGAAGTACCTCAGGCTAGCAGTTCATGCAGTATCTGATAGATGTCACTGAGTTTTCCTCAAAAATGTAAAATAGTCCTCAAAACCCTCGTGAATCAATGGAGGTAGCCTGGGGCACCTGAACACAGTCCGGGAGCCATGGGTTTAACCAGTGACCCGGATCTCCTCACTCTGAAATCCCCCCTTTCCATCGATCTCACTGCCTGGCGTCAGATGCTCAGATCAATAGAACCAAAAACTAAAATCTCTTCCAGAGCCATCAGTTTGCACTTTCTGCACCCTCGACTCCCCAGCCTGTTAGACCGTCATAGCCGCCACGCACGCGTAGTCGGTAACGTTGCCTCCCTTCGATCAGAAACCCTCATTCCTCATCGCTTTCTTCCATTTGCAGAGTTTGCTAAGTCCTATTGGGGCCTCTCCTAAAGGCATCTTCAGCTGTATGTTTCCACCATTTATGTCTTTCTATGTTTGGTCTTGGATTATAGTCTTTGATATACTTGACGTACTCTCTTCTCTTGTTTCAAGTCATTTTTCTATTTTAATCGTTATCTTTGTTAGAAAATTGTTATTTTAAACATATATAAGAAATTACATTTTGATATGAGAATCATTCTACTAATTTTAAGGTCTCCTGACCTTACTACTTGTGATTTTATCAATAATTAATTCAAATCATACTTTTAAGCATTCTTACGTTCCCTCATGCCCAATAAAAAAGTGTATACTTTCCCTTAAGAAATAAAGAAAAAATATAAATATCTAATCACTATGTTATACTCATGAAACTAATATAATATTGTATGTCAACTGTAATTGAAAAATAAAAATATGTAAAAAAGAAAGAAAAAATGAGAATAGCATGTGGCAATATATAATGATTACATTATCATATTGGTGGTTACATTATCTGGGTCTCTTGTTATAACTTTGAAAAAGAATTAAATTTAAATTTATTTTGATCCCAGGAGAATGAGAAAAACTATTTATTGCACATTCCATATACAAAGGAATGTGGGGATGGAATTGGAATATGTTCGTAAATAGAACATTAACCTTCCCATTTTAGAAGTCTTGTAATTCTAAACTAATATCACATTATAATAGTTGATACATTTTTACTTCCTTTGCTTCATGTTGTGATTTGCATACATGTAAATATACAGATCATCATCCACATGTTCAAAAGTATAAGACACAAAAAAGAACAAATTAAATTTTTAAACATAATCATTTCAATACTGTATATATATAAATATATATACATGATCTTTGATTTCAGTTAGGCTAATTATTTCCACAACTAATAATAACTGTGGGAAGACATATAATTTCCATAATGCTATATGTTTCTTTATGAAGCTTGTATATCAACTATATTATGCCTACATCAGTTAGTAATATTTACTTCAAGAGGTACTTAAAAACTATCTTTAGGAGTCATAACAGCTAAAATACAGTAAACCTAAATGATGGATATAAAAGTATATTATACTATGGCTCTCAACCCTGAAGTAGAGGTTCTCCATCACTCTAAAACCTAGTTACACTGCTTATAAATTTAATAATTGCATTTAAGTGGTATAAACAAAGTAGAGTTTTATACTTGTGTTTCATTAAAGAAAAGCCATAAAATGTTAAGTAAATCTGATTTTTTTTTTTTTTAACTAAGGCATTAGCATTTATTTCTAAAACAGACCACTGCTTTTTTTCTTTGGTTCTGTTTTGTTTGCTCTCATTTGGGGTGGTTGTAAAATCTGCAGATGGGTTCCATGGTTACTAATTCTGACTGTTCATCTCCCTCATGGATGTCTGGCACATTTCACTTAAAATGCATGATATCGCATGTGCTTTCTCCTTTGCTGTGGCCTCTGCTATATCATTTGTTTTGCTTCCAGATAGCGGTGGGTGTGCTCGCAAACGTGCTGCCATGTCTGTCACATTAACATCTGTGAAGAGAGTTCAAAGTTCTCCAAACCTTTTGGCTGCAGGTATAATATCACTAACTCACAGAATGTCACACTTGAATGGCTTTATCTGACCTTTCTCTCTTTCCAGAATTATCTTGTTTGGATGAAGAAAGTGACTGTAAATACCTTTTTAATGTCCCACAAGTTCTTATTTTTCTTGTCTCAACAATAGCTCCTCTCCCTTCTGTGTTTGTTCTAAAAATAAAAAAGCCAAAGGAAACTGATATCTTGTAGAAAACATTTTTTAAATCTAATTAAAAACAACAGTCACTTGCCAAAATGTGTTGAGTAACTGCAAGTGTTAATAACTATCTAAGTTTTTGTCTCTTATGAATTAAAGTTACATCTCCTAAGTGCTTTTGTTGTTTTTTAAGCTCAAAAACTGTTGAGGGGTGGGGACGTAGAGGGTCAGAAAGAGGGATTTGTGGGAAACTGAATATTTATTAATTCACTTCTTTGCCAAAGGCTGCAAGCAGAACGACAGAATGTTCTGAAAGAGACCTTAAGCCTTTCTTTAATCCCATCAGCAAAGATCCTTCTAATATATATTTTTAAACCTCTTGGTGCAATTAAGACTAACATGCAACCACAGGTAGAAAATACTGTGGGAAGTAACTGGCGGCACGCTGTTTCAGCCCCTCCTGAGGTGGGGATCAGTCACGATGACGTCTGCCGTGACTGCCTGCGCTGCAGGCACAGCCTGCTCCGAGAGGGAAGCTGCTGGGGAGGGTCTCAGTGGGCCTGCCGACCCCGTGACTCTAGGCCCAGAAACCCACCTGCCCCTTTTGGTGACTGATTGGTTTGATCGTCAGTTGGCTATTTGGGTGGTTCCTCGTTTTTATTTCTATTTGTGGGGTTTGGGAGCAGAAGTGGAAAAGGCATGGAGGGGGTTTAAGTTATTGTAATTCTCACTGTGCATGCCACTGTCTTTTGCACATGCACATTTAGTAGTTAATTAAATGCTCAAGACATCCTTGCCTTTCAAAGCTGGGTAGTTCGATCCTGAACTACCCAGCTTTGCTGAGGAAAAACAAGCTTCCACCCCTGCGCACCACCTCCAGTCCACAAATGGATTTCAGGGTCCAGGTTTCACACCAGGCCACATGGTTCCTAGAGGGTTTTGGTTTTTTTAAATACTAGTTTCATTGCAATGTATGTAGTGCAATTTCAGTTTGGTTAAAAAAATCTTTATCTATATATATTTGTATTTGTACATGTTTGCTCATGTGTATATGAGGATGAAAAGATATTAGAAAAACTACAAGTATGTTTACGTGGAATAGCTGAGGCAAATGGGAATAAAGGGAAATAAGGAAATTAATCAAATAAAGTCCAGAGCCATCAGGCAATCGAAATGCCTATACCATGAATATCACTGACATTTCAACCAAGTAAAATTCTAGCCCAAGCCACCCAGATGTGGACCAGTCGCTGACGCACCTGATAGGGAATGTGGCACTGATTCAACAATGCCATATTCTCTTATCTATAAAACTCTTATCTATAAAAGTAACCACAATAATAGTGACTGAATTAGAGACTGCCATTTTGGAGAGTCAACACCAGAACATCAGCAATTTCATATCACTAAACATAAAAGAAAACACTTAATGCTTCAGAATCAAAATAATAGAAAACATTCGATACTTTAGGAATATGAAATAAATCTTCAGTAATAAGTATGCTGTGGCTATGGGCCATTTTAAATTTTTATTATTAGGAAAAAGATTTCTAGAGAATGAAGTCCTCTGAATTTTGGACTCAATTGTTATATCAGAAAGAGACCTCTTTTGCATTAAGACACATAGTTATGATTCCTTTAATGTTTTAATTACATTTTGAAGAAAGAAATCACCCTCTTTTCATGCCCTTCACATTATACGGTAGGTTTCATAAGGACTTATTTGACACAGTGTCTTTTTGTGAATCAAACAGGGATTCATAAATATTTATTGTATTAGATAATGTGAAAGCAGCAGAGCCTTTCCATGAAAGGCTTCTCCACAAAAGGTTTTAGGGTTCCCTCTCCCACCTCTTAGATGGAAAGTCCCTACAAGCTTCTAGTCAGCACCTATCTGTCCCCTGAGTCGGTCTTCCTCTTTTCCTCTTACAAGAAGTAGAGTCCCACTGGACAATTCATACACACACTGATATTTTCGATCTAAGCTAGAACAACAACAATGAGTCTAGAGATACAATAAGCCTTTCTGAAGGACACGTGCTCGTACCGAAACCACCTGGCCATCTGAGGTAACATTGATAACAATGATGTGCTGCAGTGACCCGGCCACTGTGCCAACAAACACCGTGCATGTTTTACGCCCTTAGGAAAATTCGTCTGCCTGTAACTCGGGTTCCCTTTCCATAAAAATAGAATGTGTCATTTCCTATCTCTCTGAGAACTTAGTCATTTCCTGGACTCCCAAAGGTTTGTCAAAATTAAACTGAAGGTAAATGAACAAAATAAATAAAGAGGCTTGCCACACTACTTAGAGACACTGTAGGCACACAGTTAGTTGACTGGAATTTAATTAATATGTTTAAATGAATTCTTGCAGAGTAATTGAACCCTCTAAAGGAAGGAGGTATAAGAATTAAAATCATCACAGTTTTCAAGAAAAGTACAGTTCGCAATGTCTGACATAGCACATCGTTGAAAGGGATTCAGGTGTTGGAATCACAGAGTCGGAAAGGACCTCCGAGGACATCCAGTCCAACCCTTGACGCCAAGCCCGGAAGGAGCCCAGACAGCCTCTCCCCCAGGGCCCCCTTCCACCTGGGCCCAGGGAGCGCTCCCTGTTCCAGCGGGAGAGGCGACAGTTCCTAAATCTCAAAGACCTGATTCATGTTCACAGGCGAAATAAAAACCAGCGAACAATAAATCTGCCCCGCTTACCTGTTCTAAAATTTTCAGACAAGCAATGACCATCTGCTAAAGAACACTAGACATTTAGGGCTCTGGTCCCTAGAATTCTCACTCTGTTTTTTCACAGTGAATGATCATAAATAACATTCAAGATGTTGGACAAAACCACTTTCCCCGTGCATCTGGCAAGTCATTTACCTGCTCCATGTTTTTTTAAGCCTATGTTCTTGTTACTTGTCATGGATCCAGGCAGCCTTCATGGTTTCTGCCACCTGCTGCTGACCACACCCACACTCCCTTTCCTAAGCTTTCCTGGCAGAGATCAAGGGACAGCTGGGCCGAGGTCAACAGTGTCCATGCAGAAGGAATTTATCTTTCAGCCTCTGTAGAACCAAGCATGTCAAATACTATAATTGTATTTATGCTAAAGAAATAAATACAATGTTGGACACTTGAGTGTCTTAAAGAGACCACCCTCTCAGGTGTGGGCTTTAATCACTAAAACGAACTTCATTAAAATATGGATCCATTCTGAAGTTTTAATCCTTGGCCACTTTTATTCCTTTCTCCTTTCTCGTAATTCTATGCATTCATGTCTACTGTGTTAAGCAGGACCTTTCCGTAGAACACACCGTAATTAATATCTTACATTTTCCTGTAGCAGAGGTACGGCGTCATCTGGCAATCCCTGGGCAGAGTGTGGGGGGCGGGCGGGGGGAGCCCCGAGTTGAGCTTAGAATGCCTGACCCCTGATTCTCACACTTAATGTTTATCCCACTCAAGTCTCCAAAAGCTCTAATGTGGTCACCAGTAAGAAGAAGAACTGGCCGCTGCAAACTCTCAATGAGAGAATGTTTATTTCAAAGTGTCCTTCAGCTCTTCTCAGCATGCCCTCCTCTTCCTCGCCACACCTCTACCCTCGCACCCCCAAGCACCGGGCTCCTGGAACCTCCCTCCCCACACACCCTTCATTACGAGAGCTCAGTTATCAAACCAGAGTAACACAAAATCCCTATTCTCGTGCAAATAATTATAGTACAACTAATAATTATGACTATTAATACCGCTTGTCTTCCCGTCGCCATTTCCCACGTCCCAAAGCTTGTTCCCTGTCCACACGCAGTGCGTGGTAACTAGGTGGTTACAGACTCCCCCCTCGACTGCCCCGCAGCAGGGTCCCAGAACTCGCGTTACAGGATGTTTTCTCAATCATTTCGGCTTCCATCAAATCCTAGAAATACAGTCTAGTAAATATTTCCAACGACTCTTCAAAGCTATTTTCACTTTACGATGCCCATTTCATTACTCTGGTTTTGAATTCACTGGAGCTGCAATCCATACTAAATTAGCAATTGTCATAAACAACGAAGCTCTGTTACTCTTCTCTAACTCACTGGAGCTGGAGTCATTCTGGTGTAGCCACATTTATTTTTCTTCCTCTGATTCGGAAAAAATCTACATCAGATATTTTATCTAAATTCAAACTCTTGCACTTCTCAGCTAATTTTTATCATTCCAAATTCATGTGTTTAGATTTTGAAATAACTATTCCTTAAGCAGGAAAAAGAACACAGAGTCCTTTTTACATGTAACATTCATGTTCTACTAGTCATTGAAAGAGCGGCAATTTAAGGATGGTATCAAGGAACATTTAGAAGGAATCCAGAACCAGGACAGTGGTTAAGCTGAATGACCCCTAAAGTCCATTCCAAATTCAAAGCTTTATGATTTGAGGTGAGGCTGGCCGTATGGTATAATGGAACCAAGCAATATAAATTGATTACTTCAAACGTGCATAAGTTATAGAAGATTCACGAAAGTATAAGTCCTATAAAACTGAGAGTAAACATGTCATTGAGCTACTTTCTTACTGCATTATCAAAAGCAATTTCTCAGTACTGAAATTTGTTTTCCACAGCTTACTGCAAGACAATGGAATATATCATAACGGCTCTTCTGTATTTGAATATAAAAGGACTTACAATGGCAATAAGAAAAAAATTCAAAGTCTAGAGAATGATTTGAAATACTCCATAATATGGTAGACACATTTACACTTTCTTCAAGTTAAAAAAATGCAAACAACAAAAAAATGGATTGCTATCTAACATGGGAGTTGAGTATAGAACACCAGGACATCAAAAGCTAAGGATCTGGAGGTTTGATTTAATGCTACAAGAAACACCGATTGTATATACAAACCAGATACCTTTGGATGCTTTAATCTGATATTTAGAAATTCATACATTCAGCTTGGGCAATAATAAGTTAAAATTACATGGTTGCAATAACATTGGGGGGATCAGTGTTTGATATGTGTGTTAATTATACATTACAGTTACATACTGAATAATATTCTAATTGAAGTAAAAAATAAATGTGCAAACTTCTCTTTGGCATATTTTATGTACCCAGAATTTTAGAGCTGAGATAATGTTGCCAAAAAAAATGTATGTAGTTCTTTGGCAAGTGGTCTTTACTTGAATGTTCATTTCCTTTACCCTCATATTAATTTCAGCATTTCTCTTTCTTTCTAGGGCGTGATTCTCAGTCACCAGACTCAGGTACCAAAAAGCTATTCTGTATAACCATTCTATTTGTTGTGAGCTGTTTTTTAAAACATATTCATAACCACATTGTTAACCTCACAATAAAGTTTAGTTGTGTTTACTGTTTTGCATATTAAAGAAAATTCCTAAAGAAAACTCCATATTTACTTTTATTTCAAACAATGTTAAAAGTGAATGTAGATATTTTTGTATCCAATTTGTGTTCCCCTAATAAAAGCTTGGCGATCTTACAATGAGCAAAATCAAGAGACACTGAACAGAGATGCTCCATATTCCTCTCTTGCAGCAAAAGGTTTTAGAAGCGTCCGACCAAACCTACAGGAAAAAAGATCACCAACCCAGGTATTCTTGCACGCTCTTGTCTCCTGTGTTGTTTTAAAGCAAAGTTATTAGAACACTGCTTTTTGTGTCTCTTTTCTAGTAATATAGGCCTATTTTGATACATTTTCTTTTAATACATTTTTGCTTTTGTATTGTATTGCTTGTCAGACTTGTATTTATAACATGAAAGATAAGTCATAAGTTCAAAACAGGTTCTTTTTCTTCCTGAGTCATCTGATAAAAGCAGGTTAGTTTCTAACAAAATGGTTAGATTCTTAAAAAGTTGTCAGCTGATGATCTAGACTTCAAAGTTATGAGGTCAGCAACACATTATATACTTAATAAATATGAGCAATGCAACTGTTCATTATATCAACTAAAGGGATTCTGTGTTGGAGATATTAGCAAAACTGTGCTGTGGCATGAAAAGTGTTATCAAAACTATATATATGCTTCAGGGTCTAAAAATATGTAAGAGACCGTTTGTTCACTTTTAACATCATTTCCCAGGATGTAAATTGACACAAACTTTGTAATGTATTCTCTATTAAAAACTATTTTCCCCTAGAGGGCAGCTTTTGATAATAAAATAAAACTCATTCTAAATGGAATAAAATTGATCAACCTAGCCAACAAAATGTATAGCATAAGAAGGAAGTATGACATGCTTTATTCTCTTTAAGGATGGAGTTACCACTGGTTTCTTCAATGACTAACTCTGACTTTCTCTCTGTTTTTCCTTCAATATTATTTCTTTCTCCGGATGCTTTTGGCAATCCAGGCACCCCTTCCACCACCCAGAACAGACAGCTTTGGTAGCTCTTTGATAACCAGTCACACAAAGGGTGACATTTTAGACCAATTAGTAACTAACACACAAGGTCCCTCCTATACACAGTACTTCACTAATAAAAGACCTCCTCAGGGAACTATGTATTCTAATGAAGACAACGCCAACCAGACAATCGTATATTCTGAAGAATCCAACACAACTGTGTCGTATACACAGAAAATCACTAATCTGCTACCATCAGCTTCCGGCACAGGTCCCCTACCTAATGCTGACATGAGCACCCCATTTCTACAAGAGGACTACACGCAAGATTCTCAAACTCGGAAAATTTCTACACTGAAACTAATCCATAACCAGGACCTAGGAAGTAACATCCCCTTTGAGAGCCCGCAGTTTTCCAAATCTGTTGCTGAACCATCATTTCTCAAAGGGCCTTGCTCCCCGCCCCCTAACCCAGCGCCTGGGAAACACACAGCATCTCTTTCCATTCAGATAGCTCCCCCTCCAGGACAGGATCCTGAAAGCCACAAACAGCTACCTGAGCTTTCTCCAGAGACGACAAAGATACCGCCTCAGCCAGAGAGACAAAAATCTGCAGTTGCTGCGACCTCTCAGTCCCCAGACTGCCGGGTGATACATTACACTTTCCAATCTCTCCTCACAGGTGTCCTGCAAGGCCCTAACTCCTTTGCTCTGGACGTCCTGCGTAACCCACTGCTTTGTCTGTGCCCCATCAGGAAGGGAAAGGAGAAAGAAACCATCTCCCTGTTTAAAAAACCCTATCAATTCATCAATCGATGCCTAGGTTTCTTTTAGTTTAAAGAATATATAAGTAGACAGCTCTCTTATCCATAAATTATGTTCTAAAAGTTTCTTCCTTCTAGGTATTTATTAGAAACCATCAATGGTCAATTACCACTTAACATCCTGCAAAATATTTAGGTGCTGAAAGTACTTTCAAGTGTTTAAAAAAATGCATTTCATGCGAGGTCGTTTAGCACCTAGATTTACTTTATTTACATGTGTAAAAATCTCTTAAATATTCACTCGCCTGATTCAGACACCACACTCCATCAGTATACCCAAATCCATGTGACCATTTTAGATCACTTGTCACTCAGGCCTTGGGCAGACACTATAAGGCTGTTCGGACCTCTGGTAAAAGGGTTTTTATTATGAGGGTACAGGCCAACCTGGTATCACAAAACGCAGGCGGAGCAGCCAGGCCTTAGGGGAACCGGAGAAGGACTTTAGCTACTCCCTCTTTCTCCATCTCAGATGCCGCCTGGGTCCTGTCTCTCCTCTCTGTGAGTTGACCTCATTCTCCTCTTTAGCTTCTGCTCTCTTATTACTTCAAGCTGCCTGTGAATTTCCATAGCATTCTCTGCCTCCAAGTTACATGTCAACATGCACCTGGGGTTGTGGGGCACAAAACTACCCGACTGGGGCATCTGCGATTCACATTCCCGGGTAGGAGGCAGTGCCTCCCTGGCCCGGGCTCGTCCGTTCATCCCCCTCCGAACACTCAGTGGCGGCTGGTGGGACGGAGTCGCCCGGTACACACGGGGCTGCCAGACCTCACCTCATCCCCCAGAGGGCGCTGTCACAAAGGAGGCGGGGTGGGAGGAAAAGATTTTTTTTTTCACAAAAAATTCTTAAATTGCTTAAAATTATCAAGGAGATCTAAAATCTTAACAACGATAGGGATAACTTTGTAATAAAAGCCATTATAACTATCCATCACGAGGCTTCAGCAATTTTTATTATTTTGTCATTTGTTTTCAACTGGCAACTCCAGTTATCTTGGTAGTAAAGGCAACATAAAATCCTTAAGTTTGTCAAAATTGGAATACCTATACCTAGCAGGTGAAGAGAAAAAATAATGATAATACCACTATGACACCTAATTAAATACAAATAATTTCTTAATGCAAAGGTTGATTTTATTTTTAAATATCACTCCCTCCTAGGTATTTTAAGTACATTACTGTCAACTTTATTGAAAAGGAGAATAAAACCTGTCAAGTCCATTTGTTTGATATTTAGCATATTCTGTATGTTCCTTGAGAAATGAGGCCTGGAAGCTCAGCCATCAAAAAGGTTAGAAGGGGGATGTTAAGATCCCAGACCACAGTACCATGTTAAGCCAATAGGAACCCGAGACAGAAAGAAAAAGTATCCCATATATGTATATATATGTATATTTATGTATTGTTAATTTTTTTCCTGGAACATTTCAGTAGTTCAAAAAATCCTGAAGAGTTGAAAAGTAGGCATATTCAAACTGAACTTTCAAGTTTAAATAATTTATTTATACCAAAACAGAATTTATTATAATTTTACTTCATCATATTAGTTAAAAATTGTTTAAGATCATCATTGGTCAAGGGGAAATTGTCAAACATGGCTCTTCTCTCCATTTCAAATAAGACCAGGAAAACACAGATTTTGAAAATACTACTTTATTATAATATAATTGCTTCCATTAAAAATCCAGGATACAAATTTTTCCCTTTCCTCTGTCTTCAGTGTGGCTTGATATGGCACTGGTCATTATTTAAATTTTTGAGATTTTGTTCAGTATCCATATTTTGGGCACTGATTTTTTTTTAACGATGATGTTAAAATAACGTTTCTCTCACTGAGTTTTAGTCCCTCCACTAAATTTTGCCCCTACGATAAGTGCCTCACTCACCTCCCCCACCACCTTTACAGCTACTGGATCAACCGAGCGATGGTCTGGGGGCTTATGATGACAGATACGTTTTGTTCGTTTCCGCTGACTTTATTTTTAATTTCACCACCTTAAGGAGGGCCGTGCTTTTCCATTCAACCTCAGTCCCTCTCATTCCCTCTGTCTAAGTCCTGGCCTGCGTGTTCCGGACCCATCCTTGGCCCAGGGCAGGCACTGGAGCTTGCGATGCCTGCCTCCAACCCAAAATACATTTTCTACTCACCCTTCCTGAGTCCCCTGGCACCCCGATTCCACCTGAATTTAGTGAACCCCTTCACTCACAGGTGCTCCTTGGCACTCTGGCTTAAATCCACTTGGACCACGAGGCTCAATGCTCTTTTGAATGAATAACCAGGTGCTCTTTCTTAGAACACTCGCGTGTTGAGGTTGAAGCACAGCCTTTTCCTTTGCAGAGACAAGACAGCAGCAGGCTGGTGTTCCTGGTGTTCCTGGTGTTCCCAGCTCTTCCCTCCCTTGGGGTTCAACAGTAAAAAGGAACCTAAACTCCCCGCAAGTTGGTGACACTTGGCTTCCATCCAAACACCTTGACCTTATCTGGTCTTGAAAAGACAGAGGCACAAACCACCAGGATGACTTTCAGCAGTGATCTATCTGCTGACAATTCAGCCAGGAAGGCAAATACATGCACACAAAACCCTCTTCTTGTTTTAAATTTGTTTTTCCTACCTCAAGCTAGTCCAGATTGAGAAAATCTTTCCATCTTCCCTTTTTCACGCTTTCCTCTTTCCTCCTACTCCTCTCACATTGCCCTCAGGGAAATATATATATATTGTGGTTCTCTCTCTTCCTGTGTCTAAGAGGGTATTTCTGCAACGGGGCCCTTAGGGTTATATAAAAGGAGCCCCAAACTAGCCTAAGAGGTCATTTACATCTTTTTCCCAAAATAGTTCAAAGCTTTTGTGCAGATGACCAATAGATTTGAACTTTGGAGTTTTATCTATAGAATGTAAGTGTGGTATGTTTCCCCTGGAAGGATTTCATCTCTTACACACACACATACACACACACACACACACACACACAAAGACTCAAAATTGTGAGCATATCAGGTGGTGGTGAGAGAAATTTAAAAATTGAAAGGGTTCTGTTTTCTGTAGACTGTCTCTTTGGAAGGACAAATAAATGGACACAGACCCTTCATGGACACGGCTCTGCACAAACCGATCGTATCACGCGCCGCATGGATGGCTCTTACAGGCGGCCTCAGCTTTTGACATCTCTCTAGTTCAAAGGACATGGGCGAGCCAATCCCATGAAAATGACAAGCATTTACTTTTTCCTTTTAATTTTAAAGGAAAAACTCCTTTGAGAAGATAAAACCTTTTGCATGATTTTAAAAGTCTTGTTTAACAGACTTTTCACTCAACAGAAGCGAAACTAAAGAGATTCATGTCCTATGGAAACCTCTTCAGTGGAACTGCATCCTTAGGAAGCATCCCATTTTCACTGGGAGGCCAGGACTGCTCTATACACTCAGACTTGCAGCAAAATTCCGACCTGTTAAGTTGTAATTATTACAGGTCCATGCTACTATCATTTTACTTGTAATAAAATCTGGAATTATTATTAAAACTGACTAATAACAAAGATACATGCTACAAAAATATTTTTAAGGTCTCGAGATTTTAAAACCATGTACAGTTTAAAAAAAAGATATCACATTAATAAGGAGTATGATTAAACAACAACATCTTATTAAATGAAAATAGAATAAGGAAATCTTTTTATCCAGAGTTAGAGTTTCTTAACCTGTTAGATTCAGGACATGCTTTAGAGTATCTGTGAACCCCCAAAGTTTATGCAGAATTTTGTGTATACCTATACCAATTTGTGCGTTTTTTCCTAACAGAAGGATAAATAGTTTCCATCAGATTTTTCAGGTGTCCATCATTGAGAGACCTTTCATATGGTGGATTTCTTTTAAAGTATTCAGGGAAAAGCCTGAGGGAAAAAATGATGACGTTGTATACGGTCAACGGCCTGCTTGACATCAACTGTTAGGAAAACGTGACGGCGGGCAGAGACCGGCGAACAGCGCCCCCGACCTCTGCGCGAGGCGGGCGCCCCGAGCCGCCGCTGTTCTCCTCGGCTCGCTCCCCATCCTGGGGCACCATCCTGTCCCGCTCTCGGTTGTCTGTCTCACCACTGGCACCACACCAAACCCTCAAAAACACCCTCTGTTCTGAAGGTGCCGCGTTTCATTCACTCGTGTCGGGGCTGAGGCTTATCACCCTACCAGACACGTGTGCACAGACAGCATCGCGGTTAGAACCACAGCGACGAACTTCGGACGCGCCATCGCCCCTCTTCCTTCCCCAGACAGGCCTGCACCACGCGGAGCCTCCCGGGTTATACCGCCTGGGGGGGAATGAAACCTCTTCCTTCTCCTTCGGTTTCTTTCTCCTTTGCCTCTGATTTGGCAGGTAAACCAAGAGTAGTTGTAACCAGCTAGGGGGTAGTCTAACCATCATCAGTGGCTGCTTTTTTTCCACTTCATCAGCACACAAAGGTACCACGATTTGCATGCTTAGGGTATTTTAAAGTGTAACCCTTTTAGTATGTTGTAGAGAAATCAAGAAAGAGATGCAGTGAGTGGAAAGAAAGCAAGATTCCCTTTCCATTTACTTGTTTTTAGTTTTGATCAGGCTTTCTATCTGTAAGTCATTAAAAAAATGAGGCAAACTGACTTATATTTTTGGGACATTTTCCAGGGAGAGGGGGCAGTAGGTATGCTGCAAAGATTTTTCTAGTGAAGGGAAAACCAATTCTGCTGAGCAACAGACAGCAACCTGACATCATTTTACTGTCAGAAATGCAAAACCTGAGACTTCAGGGGGGGGGGGGGGGGGGAACAATCTGTTCCGCCAACACTCTCAAGCCCCCACCCAGAATGACAATGCAGTGCTCTGGGAAGCCTGGTCTCATCTCAGAAAACAAACAAACAAACAAAAAACAAAAAACACCACACTTACTGGATTCCCTTTCTTCGTGTTTTCATGCTTTTTCTGTACTGTGTGGTGGGCACCTAACTCTCTGAATGCGTTTCCTTAAAGTGCTTGCAAATGAAACCAATGATTTGCCTTCTCTGCCACATGACAAAAGGATGTTTTATTCATTGGATAATGTATATCTCCTCTTATTATTTCTTCCTCAAACTCAGCTTGGAAGCCAGAGCTTAGCTGCCAGTGTGCCGGAGGTAAATGCTTCGCAGACACACACGCACGCCACGCCATGAGCCTGTTTCCCGCCCGGGTCTGTGGTACCTCTTAACCGAAACACAGTCACCAAACCAAGGCTCCAGGCCGGCAGCCCTTAGCCTGCCACTGCCTGCCGGCGGTGCAGCAACCCCTGCCCTTGCTCCTGACCTCCGCCGCCACGCGGCACCCCCGGCCCCGTTACTGCAGGCGCCGCCGCTGCCCCAGCCAGGGCTCCTGGAGACACCCCAGAGGAGCTGGGGACAGCTGGCGCGGGCACCTCGGAGACACCTTCCCGGGCTGGGGTCGGAGGTCTGCGCGATGGAGGGCAGCCCCTGCGTGGGCCCTGCTGCCAGGCATGGCATTGTCCTCCGGCCCTTTGACCCCATCATTTTTTGTACAGATCTCCAAGGCCAAAAGGACGGAGATCGCCTACCAGCTCATTCTGCTGCTGAGCATTTCCATTCGCACAGGCATTGACTAGCAGTAAACCCATTCTCCATAGTCTGCCGGGGATATCCTCACAAAGCCACTCTGGGCTGAAAAAGTCTCACTCTCTGCATTCATTTCAGAGTCGCTTCTGTTTACACTGGGTTGCTCTAGCTAATGGGTTAGACGGTGATTTGCCTTCATAAGAAGTTATCTCAGAAACTTAGATAAGTACACATATAATATTATTATGCTTAGGTTATAGAGAAAGTAAACTTTTTCAAAAATTTTAACCCGATATTAAATCCTGGTAGATAACAGTTTAACTTAGAGAGCCGCGTGAAACTGCCCTGCGTGAGTAGTTTGCATATCCTCCTCTCTCACATACGTGGCTACTGACTATGTCATGCTAATTCTTCCCGCTCCCTTCTCACTAACACTCAACGTCTTTTGAACCCATCTGTCTTACAGGACTGAATGATGTAAGCAATCTTAACCTACACTGCAGAAAGTGAACCCATGCTTTTTTGAAATTATTTTTCCTGAGCCATTCCAGTATAGAAATCTATGAATATATTTATTGTTTTATATATTGATAACTTATCTTCCACTTAGAGTGATATATCTTTCTCATGTATATAATATGATTTAACTATGTCTATATGACAAGCAGTCTCTAACAGAAAATATATGAATGGTTAAAATGCTTCAAAATTTTTCAACACAGGTTTTCAGTTGCATCTAATGTATAAATAATGACTTCAATTCGAAAGGCATATAACTTTATAAAAGCCAAAAAAAAGGGCATTTTTCCCTAAAAATTGATTTTATAATGGAGTTTAAAATAAGCATTGTTATAGACAAAGTAGGATTTAGAGCAACTTTCCTAAGTTTAGCAACATTGTAACATGATGGCTTTTAATAAGAATTTTCCTGTTTTTAACAATAATTATGACACAACGATAACAACAGTATTCAAATTATATTTACGAAGATCAACCAGACTCGATTTGGGCAAGGGGGAAAGGTATCCTCAAATCATTCACCGAAGGTAAATGGGAGCTCGGAAGCGTCGGGGTGTGCCAGAGCCTCCCACTTACTTCCACACCCACAGCCCTTCGGGTGGAGGATCCTCAGATAATTATGCTGTGGGAGTGATTCCCCTACCAGCTTAGAGAAGTACTTAATCAATAAGCACGACTGTGGTAATGAAATGGTTATTGACTTTCGGCCAGATGTGGTATCACTATAAAGTAATGAAACTAGGTTTATTCTAGGTCATTGGAAAACATCTGTTTTAAAGTGAAAAAATCGTGGAAATAAGCAGTTAATCGTGCATTTATGTGCCAGGCCTGTATAATAGAAGTTTGTTTTGTATTAAAATGAGTAGAAAACATTCACAAATTCTACTTCTTTATCTATGCGTATATGTGTGTGTGTACTCAGCTTGGAAGCCATTTTAACTAAATGCTCTTACTAATGTTTTGTCCCATCCGCGAGCATTATGAAACCTCCATGGTGCTCTAAGCAGTGCTGTGGACAGACAGGCATGTATCACAGTGCTGAGCTCCGCCTCTGTGAACTAATCTGATTCAATTCAAATAGAATATGTATCTATTGCATATCTACTATGTCATTAGCACCAGGATGCATGTTATTACATGATGTATATAGATATCTATATATATGTATGGCCATCTCCAACAAGAAGCTTGAAATACCTTCGGGGTTATAAAATAGTCAAACATAAAGCAGTCAAAACAATAAATTATTAAGAAACAAGAGGCACATCAAGTGCTGAATGCAACTGGAGAGGGGAGAAGCCCGCAGTTTAACGTGTCTTTTTGATGCTTTCCCAGGTATATGATTCTTCTAGAATAGATTAATTTATGATACCTAAATCAAAACACGTGTGTTCCTTATGTTAATGATCACCTTGCGCTCCCCAGAAGCATTGATTCCATAGAGGATATCCCTGACTGAGGCTGCGAACCAACCCTTTCCCCCTGTCAAAGATCATTCATTGCCAGTCTCACACACGGAGCGGCACAACAGCGTTCTGACTGCTTAACTCAGGGCTGTAGCACAACTTGCCCTCCCGGTTTATTTTATTCTGACGCCTACTGATACCTTTGGCATCTCTGTTGGCAGAGAGGCATGCCCACTAGCCAGCTGTTCCTAATCACCTCCTATGCCCTCTGACATACAAAAGAGTGATTTTCAGAAATAAAGGAAGCTGAAGAAGACACTGAAAATATGCACCCTGCCCCTCTAGACCTCACTTTTCAAAGGAAGTAAAAATTTGACAACTGATTACTGTCATTTGGATGAGGCCTTTTACTGTCACCTGAAAGAACGATGTTTGCAGGGGGACCATGTTTTAACCAGGTGTCTCTGCACTTTTCTCAGAGCCAGATAACAGTGAATGGAAGCTCTGGAGGCGCCGTGAGTCCAATGAGTTACTATCAAAGGCCGTTTTCCCCGTCAGCCTACTCTCTACCAGGCTCACTCAATTCCAGCATTATCATGCCGCATGGCCGGTCACTTGGTAAGTCATCTGATAGCCATGATTTTTATGACAACTTCAAAATAGCAAGTACAAACCACATGAGAGAAATAGAAAGCACCCAAGCAATTTTTAAAAAGGAGGCAGAAATATTCAACACATCACTATTTAATGACCTTGTTCTCGGGGAGGAATTAGGTACTGTGTAAATTCAGCATCGGAAGAAATAGGCACCCAGCTATTCAAGGCAATGAGGCTTCTTCTGTACCCGACTCTGGAGAAGGCTGTTCTATGCCTGGGGTGTGGGTGGAAAGGAGAGGGTGGGCCTGTGGGGCAAAGAGCGTTCACAGCGCCAGGGGCAGTTCACACAGTAAATACCGCCCATGTTCAAGGCACCCTGGTCTTTGACGGAAAACTTTCATTATAGAAAAGTCCTTAGATGTATATAAAGAAGCCTTGGTTAACAGTTAACACAGTCTAATGGGGGATGAGGGGCGGACTGCCTCACAAAGCAGTAAACTGTTCGAACTGAAGCCAGAAGACCATCAGTCAGGGATGGGAGTTCCTTTAAGTGATGATTCCAGAATTTCAAAGAGACATCGTTCTTAATCTTTTGGGAATTAAGAATTGGGTGAAAGATACAGCTTTCCTCCAGAAACAGAATAAACCCTTGAACATTTATAAAAACTTTTCCAGCATGTAATTTCACGGGGCTCATGAACCCTTCAAAGCTTCCCGGAAAAGAAACTGTGCTATCTAATGATAGAAACATTTTTATGTGGCAAAAGATACTATAGAAAATAACATCATAAATATTTCTTAGTTTTTAAAAATGTAAAACATTAATGCAGAACATTTAAAAAAAAACAGACTAAATCAAACCATCATCTGAAGTCACGCTGAAGATGATGTCATGAGGCTGACCAAGGGTTCCCTGGGCGGCAGGAAGCAGCGAGGGAGGCAGGGGAACACGGGATCGCAGCACAGCTCCCCGAAAAGTGGGAGGAGACCCAGTCTCCTGCCACCAGCCAAGCACAGAGAGACAGGAACTGCAACACAGGGCTTTAACTCCATTCCTCACTGCCAGCAGGCAGCGTCCTCTCTTCCCCAACGCTGGCTGTGTATTGAAAGGACATGACGCTATTAGTTCACCCAGGGAGAGTCAGCCTGTGCATTGTGGTACTCAACTTCCATGTCAACAAAACCTCTACACAACTCACGCGTGGCCAGGAGACTCATTAAAGGAAAGTCTAAATGTACTTGCACCTTTTCTAATGCTGCTCCTGGGATCACCTGTAACTCTTACGATGATGTCCTTTTAGAGTATAAGAAAGCAGAACGTCCTTGTGCCAAAATGTGGCCCTTAAACAGTATGTTACAGGTGTTGAATTATAATGGGAGTCCATTATATCTAGATTTTTTTACAGAACTATGCATTATCACACAGCTGCAGCAAAACTCTACAAATTATTCTAGCCATAATATTTTCCCAAATAATTATTGTCGAAGTCTGACTCTTTCTCCCCAATTGCTATTTTAATGAACACAATTTTTTCCTGCCACCTCAACAAACAAAATATGTAAATACTTGAATGTAGACAGGGTTTTACATTAGAACATACCAATGGGTAGATTTTACACGTAAACTATATATGGAGAGAAATTCTCTATATAAACATTGAACAGATTTCAGCTGGCCAAGCTGAGATAGCTCCTGAGGAGAATGTACAAATCTATCCTGCCCTAGGGAGTTAGTGGACCATGTAGGAGCATAATAAAATAAGAGGCTAACTTGTAGTAAATGAGCTGTAAGGTCATAGAATCTCAGGAGCCATAAGTGAAGGCAGAAGTCAATAGTGTTTGCTTATGCTGGGACTTTGCACATACTAGGTGCTCAAAAAATCTGCTTTTTGATAGGAACACTAGATCATGGTTGACTACTCAAATATTTTTAGAATCAAATGGCAAGTCAGAGTCAAATATCACACTGCGTCTTCATTTGGAGTTGCTTGAGAAGATTACTTTTATATACAATGGTACATAAAGCAGTTTTATTCCTAGCCTTATTCATTCCTCACCACAAGTGCACTGAAAGTGCTTTTCTGTTGCAAACTAAATAGAAAATAGCCATAATAGTAATAGCAATTATGGTAATAAATGTTATAATGGATTTTAGCTTATCTCTACTTAACCTTATAATGATGCGTTAAATTTTTTTAATCTTATTTATGATGCTTTATGTAAATTTCCTACAAAAATACAGTCATATCTTTGGAGATATATACAGGGTGGGGCAAAAATAGGTTTATAGTTGGGAGTGCATGAAACATGTATTATTATTAATTTATTTGTGTATATTTTCCATATGAACAGCTGTAAACCTTTTGCCGCACCCTGTACGTGTGTGTGTGATGAAATATTAGGACTTTTCAGCAGCTACCTGAAAAAAGATCTTTCTGAGCGACAGATCTGACAAATCATGGCAAAGAATCATTCTTGGCCACCAAAGTTTTGAAATTTCTTGTGAAAATGAAAAAGAAAAAATAGGAAATTGTATCATCAGTTATACCAGATGAATGGTAATAGTGTTCATTCTCATAAATATCTGTGAACTAAGAGTAAGTGGAATATATAGTACACTAAGTTTCCCCTTCTTTGTGAAAGTATAGCAAAAGTTAATAAACATAGCATGAAGATAGAAACATTATAAATTTCATCTAATTTATACACTTCAGGCAATTTTTATACTCAAGAAGTCATGGTTTTTGGTACTTTAAAATAAAAAAAAATATTATGACCATCATGGCTACATAAATAAAAATTAATGCTAATAATTTAAAATCATTTATTTACCAGTAAGCCTTCACATCCAAATATATGTTTGGCTATGAAGCTGTTTTACTGTGGTTCTTGTTTTCACTTCACTTTTATAAAATCACGGTCAGGGACTCAACAGTTGTATCTTTCATCCTAAGAGCACATTTCAGAACGTTTACACATCGGCAGTGAGGAATTCACACTTTCACAACTATAGGATCAATGTGAACGCGGCTCGGCCTCTGCCCCCTCAAGATCACTATAGGAGGACGAGACGAGATCGTGCGTGTAAAGCGCTTTCTTCCAGAGGCTCGCCCCAGGTCACAAGGTCGTTCACAAAATGTTTACATCCCCTCCCCCACCTTCATAAACTCGCGAGGGTCCTGTTATAGGTCTGTTCAGTGCACACTCCCAGGTTAACAGCGAGCGGCTGACGTGTAAGGTCCATGAGTTAAAAGAGACAGGGATGGAAACGCAGACTGTGTCGCATGTGGCGTAACTGTGCCCGAGGCCCCATTCCTTTGCGATCCCCTGTGCATCACAAGCATTCTGTGTCCCCCCAGATGCCACAGAGGCATACCCCCAGCATGCGCAATCTCTGGACGGCACCCTGGGCAGCTCCATACCGCTGTACAGGTCCTCGGAGGAGGAGAAGAGGGTGACCGTCATCAAGGCGCCGCATTACCCGGGGATCGGGCCCGTGGACGAATCCGGAATCCCCACCGCAATCAGAACGGTAGGAGGCGCCAGCGTGCGCCCCTCGCCTGGGCAGGGACTCCGCGAGGGTGGGCTGGCCGGGCGCTTCGGGCGCCCCCCTGGTCTTAGCTAACGAGGATCGTCCTCGGTGCCCTCCGAGTTCTCATGACCGTTATGTGTGGCAGAGAGAGGACTGTCAATTGGAGAGCATCACACAATCTGCTTTTTCCAGCTTCATTAAACATCATGGAAATGGTGATTTTGTTAAACGACCAAAGTACGTTCTGTTTTACCTTGTACCAAGGAGCATTAGGGCGCTAGAGAGAAAAGACAGGGACGGGGGACCCAGGAGTTCCGGGGCTGCCTTGGACTCCCTCCGCGTCGCAATAGCCCGGGGATTTTGTTGCTTGGAGTGGATGTGTGTTCACATCAGCAGATGGGGAGCTGGGAACTGGGAGCCGGGAGGCGAGAGGATTGAGGGAAAGGACTTAAGGTCACGGAAAGAAAAAAGCCGATGCAAAACCCACAGCTTAGTGTCCCTCTTCAGCTGTGTCTGCTGAGAGCTCTTGGGGATGCTAAGTGAAAGCGTTTGGGGTTTTTTTTTTTCTCTGTGTGTGTGTGTGTGTGTGTGTGTGTGTGTGTGTGTGTGTGTGTGTTTTTTTCTGGTCTTTAAACTCTGCCAAAGCTTTGCTCAGAGTGCCGGGGCAGCCCCTTCTGGCAAAGCGCAGCAGTCGCAGAGGCAGGACTGAGAGCTGGCGGGGCAGGCAGCTGCTCGCCGAGCCAGTCCCCTCGCTGACGAGGTCTGCGCGGGCCGCGCACGGAGGACGTGGGAGCCAGGATGAGGGCGGCAGCGCCTTTGCAGGTGATGTTGGGGGGCGGCTGGAGAGCGGCGCCCAGGCGGCCTGTGCTTGCGCACGACTCCCGCGGACCTGGCTGGGATGTCGCCAAGGGCTACTGCCCTGGGATGCGAACCTGGGGGGCCACAGGCAATAGTGGACAGAGCAAAAGAATGGGGAAAAAATCAGAAAAAAAAGCAGCGGTCCGATGGACGACACACTCAAACTGCACTAAAGACCCAGTGTGGGGGGGTTCTTCTCTCTCTGAATTTGCATGTATTCTGGGGGGATTATGTGTTCTATACACAGACAGAAGAGTTAGAAATTAACTATTCCAAGCTTCTGTATCAGAAGCCAAAAAGTAAATCTGTACAGCCATTCCTGTGGGTTTCATACTTGTCAGATTCTATAAAGACTGAATGTCACTCATTAGAAAGTCCTAAGAATCTATATTGGAACTGATGATTGTCATATTTAAGGGACAGGAAAAGTTCAGGGGTCATGACTGACATTCTTAATCTTATGGTGACTACATGGTTCTGGTGATGCTGTTTTGTTGTTTGTTTCCCCTTTAAGATTTCTAACATAAAATGGTGACATTTAAATATTTTTCCTACTCATGTGTCAGACAGGTGTGCTGTCAGGTACGGTGTCACTGGTTTGGTTTAATTGGTCCTTGAGGCACAATACACACACAAGTTAGGAGCTCCCTGATTCTATATAGTTATGGATTCTGTCTGAAAAAGTTTTATCTGAGACCTCTGGGTGTGTTTCTAAGTCAATAGATGACTTGTAAAAATGACTGTTCAATGTAATCCTTTCTTTAATCCACAAAACATAATTTTCTTAAAAAGCAAGGTCTTGTTTATTAGTTTTTAAAAGGAAAAAAACTGAGATGTTGTAGATAGTGAAAATCAAGTAATATTAAAGTTTTATATCGTTTATGTGCTGCCAAACCCAAAGCAGGTTTAGACATGCATAGGTAAGCACTTGATGCTAGTTTCCCTTCTATAAAATAGAAAATAAAATATAATTCTTAGGCACAGCTGTGCTTCTAGCTGGACTTTGAAAACTTGACAAAGAAGGTATAGTCCTGCGAAGACTTATTCACACTTCCTATTTTTTAGCCTTGCTGAGCACATCCCCAAGTATAGCTGTGTTTATAAATGTCGAATCAGGCCATCTCTGAGCTAAAGCAGGGCCAGGAATCTCCTGGGCTGTTTTTCTTTCTCACCCACATAGAAAGTAATGATTATCAGACTCAAATTGCTCACACAGACATTCTATTGGGTTATACACCAAAGGCAGCAATGTATTGTGTTAAGAGCCTCATTCTAGACAACCAGCATATACTGAGGAAACAAAATTGTGTAAAGTAACCCAGAAGCTCTAGAAAGCCAAGAGTCGACAAATGTACCTTTGAGTTATTTGACCGACGGGAAGCAGCCCCCCCCCCCCCGACTGCCCTCTCTCACGTGACCTGGGCCGTCTGTGTTAGCCTTTTACTGCCATTCTTAACAACAACCACCACCACTAGGGTTCAGATCCCAGGAGACTGTCTAATTACGGCCAGCTAGTTAGGTGAAATACAAGACTCCTTTCTTCCCGTTCAAATACAACATGTTTCAGCTGGGAAGGAGCAAAAATAGAATAGAATAGCTCTATGCTGGTATGTAGAAAATATGTGTATTTCCCCGTTTTGAAAATCCCTGCATGATATATTGATGTAGAGTCCTGATGTTCTGTAAACTGTAGCAATGTAAAAATCCAGGTATGTTCAGCTGAAGTTACAGAAACCAACTGCATAGTGAATTTCGAGTAGTTAGTGTCTGTGCAAGATAATTTTTGAAGGAAACATACAAAAGTAAACATCTTCAAATATGAGTAGACTTCTGTTTACTTAATCCCAGTATTAGCCATAACAGTCTCCACATTGGCATGTATAGAAAGAACTTGAAATGCGCAGAGGACTCCATTTAGAACGGGACAGAGTTTTTGTAACCCTTTTACCAGTTTCACGTTCCCCTTTGCCAATTGACGGGGCATTTCTGGCATCTCTGTGCTAGCCATATAAAGCGAGCCAATGGCAGAATTGAGATCCTGCCTGGCACGTGCCTTCCAGCAAAGGAAGAAAAAACTCCTGTCTGTCAGGACGCATTGCCATATACAGGGATGTGACTTACTCATTAGGCATCCTCGTTGCCTTTGGTTGTGTCCAGGTATGGCTGGAAAACATTTCTGCACAAGGTGGTGCCTTATTTTCTGTGGCTGAACACTGTAAAGGAAATAAAGCTTAATGAAAGAGAAGTCAGTCTTTTATGAAAAGAAATGCCCCTTAAAGATACTTGATGGGCAAATAATAGCCGGACTCCTGCTTTGCCACTGTGCCCCGTCCCACCGGCTCCCACCATCTGACTGTAAGGTCAGCCAAAAACCCCCTCACTTTTCCATTGTAGAAAGAGCCTAGAATAAATGAAGAGGTGATTTGCAACAAAGTAGCCCTTACTATTCATCTGTATTTGTGGTCATTACCAGAATCATAGGTTTCTAGACACCAAAACAAAGTTGGATATAGCACAAAACCCACAATGTCCGGATGAAAAATGCAATGACCGCATTTCTGAGATAGAAATTAAGATAGAAAATGGCAACCAAAGCTCGGCCTAACAAGTATAAGAATATTTCTGTGGCAGTCCTAACAGAATATTTTGAATCAAGAGAATTGCCTCGGAAAATCTGGTATATTTAGCTACCGTACACAGAATGATTGAGCTTCTTGCCCTAGCAGCTCTGAAAATGTTGAGATAAAGACCTTTCCAAGAAAAATCTTTAATTATGGTTATAAAGGTGCCTATCTACTTTCACAGGTACACAACACAGTAGACTTCCATCCAATAACCTGGATTCATTGATTATTTTATCCCATAAATATGTGACACTCCCTATGGTTGTTATATATTGATCATTTCTTAGATTGTAGGCATTATTCTAGACCTTTTTGTATATATCAACTCATTCAGTTTCCATAACAATTCCATGATGTGGAATTGTTACTTAACATGATGTGGAAAAGGTTACCTAACTTATCCAAGTTCATCTTGCTAGGAAACAGTACTTGAGGGAACCAAGCTTTGAATCGAGGTTGTTCTGACATTGATTTTGTCTTCACACTGCAGCCCACGGTCTCTGTCATGTCAAGAGCCAGGGCTGCATTCGGAGAAGCTTCTTCTCTCAAGGGATTTACTATCTAGCAAAGCAAATGATGTATGCATTTTATTCCCAGGTTCAACATTGTTTGAAACAATATCTACATTTTTAGATTTGCTCTCAGACTCTGGCCTGTGCCACTCACTATATTTGGTGCTTTAGTAACTTTGACTAGGAAATATCCATTTTTTTATTTCTCTGAGTCTAAGTTGACCGGAATCTTGTTTGAGTCAAAAATAATGCTTAAACGGAACATTCACTAAAAACTTCTTTAAGGAGAATAATAATTATCACCAAAAGGAGTAGAACACATTATTATAACACTATAACTTTTATTCAGTGATTTTTATATAAATACATTTGTGCAAATATTAACTGCCTAGTGCTGGGCAAAACTATGATTTGGATAAAATAAAACCATAGCATGTATAATGTTACAATTTAGCCTCAACTCAAAAAAATGTGTAATATATTTATGCACGGCATGCATAACTGGACAAATTATTGGTACTGTCATCATAAAATAGACTTTTTTATCATAGACCAGAAATTTGCTATTTAAAAAAGATAAAATATAGAAAGAAACACATTAAGGAACAACGTTTGTTTGGAAGCAGTCTGTGACTGCCGCACATTCTCTCTTACAGACGGTGGACAGACCGAAGGACTGGTACAAGACGATGTTCAAGCAAATTCACATGGTGCACAAGCCGGGTACGTCTGTTGCGGCCTTCTGACCAGGTCCCTGTGGGTTGAAGGATGTGCATGTATCCTCCCCTTCTGCACCGTGTTACTTCACCCAAAATGTCAAGACCCTAGCACATGCCCTGGCTCCCACCCCTTCTTTTGAACACTCCTCCTTACCACACCCCTCAAATCACCGGCACCTGTGCTCCTCCCCCGTCCCATCTGCCAAGAAGCCCTTTACAAGGGGACGTTGCAGAGGTGCCGGGAGCTCTGGTCTCTTCCCTCCATCCTTCTTTACCCGCAGTCTGCACCAGCGTGGCACGTTGCTGCTTAGACACTCGTGATTCCTCTGTCCACCCGTGTCTGCTCCTTCTCCAGAGAGTGGCCATAGCAGGGTCCCACGGAGTTGACAGAGATAGTTAAAGCACTTACCAAAGAAAAACCACAGCCCAGGAGAAAAGGCTCCCTAGGGAAGGGAGGTAGAGGGACTGACCTTGGATTCTGTGAAGAGGGCCACAGAGCAAATACGTTACAGACAAGTGAGGCCAAACTGCAAAGGCCCAGCAAAGAACAATACGCCTGTTTCCTAACAAATTTCTGTTGTGTCTCTGACGTCCTGTCTTCTTATGATATGGTGACGGAAACTGTATTACCGTAATATTTATGTTTCGTTTTCTAGATGATGACACAGACATGTATAATACTCCTTATACATACAATGCAGGTAGGACGGGTTTCCTTGCTCCCAATGCATACCTCACGCCCTGCCGTGCTTGGAAGAACCTCACGCCACTTCTCCACCACTCTGAGTGCATGTCTTCGTTTCCACAATGAGGAGGATGCCTTCCCCCCTTTTTTTCTCAGAGCATGCTTCACAAAAGGATTGATCTTTTCTCATGGAAATGAGAACTAATACTCTTTTATCTCATTCATTCCCACTGTTGGTTCATTCTCAGCTTCAGGAATCTTTAACCCAAGTGTGAAGGCCGGCCTGAAAGAACATACTGTACAGGGCACAAAACAAGATAAAGATCTCCTTTTATCAGCGCAGAGAGCGATTACCATTGCGTAAGATCTTTCAGATACACTCCACAAAAGACAAGTCCAGCACAGTATTCTGTGACCTTGTCCATGCTTTTGCTCCAGAATGCGACCATTCATTGAAGGGTTTCTGAAAATCCCACTTTGCTGGCTCCTGTTCTGACTCAGAGTTGCCAGTGGTCGTAATGGACCGACTTCAATTGCGGGCCTTTCTGCTTGTATCAGAGTGTCCTGGGATCTTGGGAGGTGGTTGCAGGCTACCGTGAGGGAACCCCTTAAAGATGTTTCTCATCATCACTCTCTCCTAAATGTCCCATAGGAGGACCCCACACAGGGCTCCTGGCCCCGCTCAGCCTCAGGCTCCAGACCGCTGCATGGTATCTGTGTTTCCTTTCTTTAGACAGGCTCAGTAGGCCTGTCTCCCTCCCCCGCAAACCCCTTACCCAGTGGCAGCCCCGCTTGGGGTCCCTTTTCCTACCTTGCTCAACATTGCACAAGGGTCTCCCCTCTGGGACACCTGAAGGCCAGCACGCAGGCCCTTGACCTCTTAGGGATTCCGCTACTGGTCTCCAAAGTCAAGTAGAGGGAAAACAAACGAAGCAGTAGTAACAACAACAAAAACGAACAGACCAAGCTTAGAAGTGACAAGACCCCTGGTTTTCTGTCCCCAATATTCACGTGATAGCAGGGGACCCACTGGGATGTTGCCTCAACTTTTATTCCTGGCCACAGGTACCCCAAACTCTTCTTGTTAAAAAATAAAACTCGACTGAATAAATTTTAAAGATCTTATTGGCTTTGGTCAATGATTCATGAATCGGGCAGCAACCCAGCGAGGAACTCTGAGGAACTGCACAAAACGAAACACTTTACAAAGACAAGGAAGTGATACTAGGTGAACAGGCGGATCGGTTTCTGAGGCAACTTTCCCTTAGGGGACAGCAGGGTCCTGTCGGGCAGATGACCTAACTAGCGCTGACCAGGTGGTTCCTGATGGGCCGGTTTAAGATTCCATTTCTGGGAGAGGCCTAAACTATAATTAAGCCTGGTGTGGGGACGTGGGCTTTGCCTCAGCAACTCCATTTGGCGCCTGTTGTCCTGTCTCTACCAAGCTTTACAGCTGAAACCGGGCTGTAGAGTTCAGGCAAAACAATAAACGCAGGCATCATCTCTTATTTGTCATGGCAATCGGCCTGGAACTTCAGGAGAAGAAGATAAGTGAAAACAGACTTAGCTCAAAAGCCTGAGGTTGCAGGAAATACAGAATATTTGTAATTGTCTTTAAGATTGATGTTTTGTATCCATTAGTTATGAGTAAGTCGAACAAAAGTTGCATATAACCTTGCAGAGCTCTTTAGAGAGAGTTTTACCATTTAATCAGTTGACAAAGCAGCTACAACCTCTCTTCCCTTTCTACTAACCCTCCCTCCCACTGCTGTGTGCCTTGCTCTTTCTGCCTCTTTTTGGTTTCTGCGCCATCTCTACAACCCCTTTCTGCCACCCACCAAACCAGCCCCTAAGGGCGCCCTCGAGGGCCTTTGGTTCCATAATGTGTTCTCTGACCCATCACCATCTTCTAAAATCCTTTAATCCCCAGCATACATTTTCCTCACTTGGCCTTTATCATGTTCCCAATTATTTCCAATCATAGTTCTATTTGTGTCTCATTTCCCACATGTGCTATATAAGCTCATTGAGGGAGTCTGTTTCCTTACGCCTTGCACAGCACATGTATAACTTGCTCAGTATTTTGTTTGATTGCAATTAACATGTCAATTATCATGCATAAATCAGAGCTTTTAAAGTCCTAGAAGATATCTGGAAATGATTCTGTTAAGTATTTTTAATCTTCCTCTGGAACCTTAACAACGTCGTTAGTTTATGTTATACAGGAAAAAATTTGATGAGTAACTGTAAGTTATTCCTAGTACTAGTCTGAATTGCTGATAATTCTAAAGTAATTGACAAAGATTTACTGTAATCAATGCTTGTGTACAGAATAAAGCAATAACAAATTAATATATTAATAAAGGTTAATAAATTAATAATATTAATATATTAATAAAGATCATACTGCCCAACGCATGCATTGTGAATATGCTTATTGATTATTAATTTTGGAAAAATCATTGGATATTTTATGGGTTACAAATAATTTAACACACTTTTAAAATGTCATTTGCTCCTGTTTTGTTTTGTTGTGTCGTGTTTCACGACAGGCCTGTACAACTCACCCTACAGCGCTCAGTCACACCCGGCTGCAAAGACGCAGACATACAGACCCCTCGCCAAAAGCCACTCGGACAACGGCACAGACGTCCTTAAGGACGCCACTGCCCCTGCCCCGCCCCCGCACGTTCCCCCTCCCGTCCCACCACTTCGACCAAGAGATCGGTCTTCAGCAGAAAAGTAAGTCATTTCCCTTCACAGTGGCCTATACTCAGATCAAGAGGAAAAAAGACACGTAGATTTCGGAAGAAGAATTGGTGGAGATAGTATATGTATAATCTTATTAGTCAATACATGTACCATGTACTGAGGTTATAGTAAACCCTTTCGCAAGCTTGGTGCATAGTATTGAAGTGACCTAAGCTAGACCTGGTGTAACATGGGCGCAAGCTCTACTTTTTAATCAATAAATGCATATAAGAAGGCAAATATATAGAAATAACTGACATACTCCCTTTCACAAAGCAGGTCAGAGACTATGCAGTTAATTTTCAGTCTCCTCTGATTTGAGATGTTAGACCTATTAACAATGTAAAAATTCCCTTTGATATACAAAAATATCTTTTTGAAAGCAGGAAGGTTATTCCTAAGTTATAGATAAGGCATTAGTTAGTGTCTGTCTGTGAATCATTTCCACCGCTGTTTAGAGATACTAATTTTCATTTCCCCAGTGAAATATTTTTATGGAAACTTAACAACAACAATAAACACAAAAATTTTGACAAAAATAAACACACTTTTGTGTGCCACTTAAAAGTTATTATGACTAATAATCCTACTTATAAGTAATCTTTCTTGGGAGTTTGCTATGAGCCAAGCACTAGGCGAAGCACTTTTCCTCTGTTATATCTTTTAATTCTGAGAACAATACAATGACATAGGTTTTATTTTCAACCTATTTTAGAGAGAAAGAAGCTGTGAGTTAGAAAGTTAAAGCAACTTACCCAGCTTGTACAGCTGGTATGTCCACGCCAGGACTGAAATTCACCTCTGCCTAACATCATAGCTCATGTTATGCTAACAATTAATAAATAAGGATATAAGAATTATTCAGTATTAATATTGGTTATTAGTCATTCATCTATCATACCCACCTCAAAAATATTATATTCAACTCCACATTGCACCATTAAGAGTAACTGATGATATTGTATAGGGTAAAGATATCATGAAAATGGACACAAATTATATGTGAGAAGATTCTCATTTTAATACCAATCTTATCGTGATGAAATATAGTTTAGAACTGTGATGTCTTAAATTTGACATCTTTGTCAAATTTATCTAGAAATAATTGTCTAGCCATAAATGGCATTTCTGCCATAAAAAAGAACCGAAATGAACTCAGATTTAAATGTATCATTTGCTCTATGTGTTTCGTAAAAATAAATCTCTCATTAAGAAATGTGCTAATCTCTTAATAATTTCTAGATGGCTTTCATATACATTGTCTTGTATCACACTGAAAACACGTCTTCTCAACATCACTCATCTGTTTACTAGAAAGCCAGTCCTAGCCCCTAATTCTCCTGTCGTTTAGGGCACCTCTGTTTCCAACATGCCATGGAGTCAAATTCCACCCCATTCCATGGGTCAGAATTGCCCCCGACTATAGTCAGAAAATCCTTCTTTCTCAAGAGTGATCCTCCTCAGGAAGCATTCTTTAGCCCCAGCTGCCTAAAAAGCTCTACTTTCGTAGTCCTTCTGTGACCACATGTTGAAGGACATTAGTTCAGGGGAGAGCTGGTTCCAGGGTCTCCTGTGACGCTGGTTCTTCAAAAGCAGCACCAGTGAAGGCTCACCCATCCCCCCAGCTTGCTCCTGTCGACAGTGACCCCAGTGATACTTCAGTACTTTTCACACGCTCTGATGCCATTTGCAAGCTGAACAAGACCAAACATGGCATGTGCGCGACTGCTTGTCACTTTGAATCAAGGATGCCAGGTCAGACTGGTGGGATAAACCCACACAACTTCATGGAGCATAACCACCACTTACGCTAAACGCAGACACACAGAGCTGCCTCAGCGTGGGGCCCCAGGTGTCCTCGCAGATCACTGGCCACATAGCCACAAGTCCCCTGTGTGAGTGTTTGAGCCCAAGGAGGAAAGTCATTGCATGAAAAAGAAGAAGAAGAAAACATAATATGAAATAAAAGAAAGGACTTTCATCAGCTCTCTTATGTAAAACGTGGTATTTTGGACAGATGAGCTTTTTAACCTGAGACTTTTTTTGTTTAATCTTAACTTAAATTAACTTTGAAAACAGCGAGTAGTTAGTTATACACAGCTGTCTTAAACATAGAGAAGTATTTTCATGCGTGATTTGTTGGTTATTTCCAGACATGACTGGGATCCTCCAGACAGAAAAGTCGACACAAGGAGATTTCGTTCTGAACCCAGAAGTATTTTTGAATATGAACCCGGGAAGTCATCAATTCTGCAGCATGAAAGACCAGTAAGCACTTGTCATTAAACAATGCCAGCTCTCTAGGCTTCCTGGGTTCTTAAATAAACCCAAATGTTGTATCGCTTAACAATTTTTGTCACAAAGGTAATATTTATTTGGCATTATTTAGAAATCATGTTTTATTTGGTATCATGATTTGTGCATCTTATTTCAGAAGGGAAGATGCAATCTCTAATATGTACTGTCCTTACAGACCAAATATAGGACTTATTTACATGTAACTATAGCTATGTCTAATCATGGCCCTGAGTTTAGTTTTTAAAAAGTGAGGAACAACACTCATAAATGCAACACTGAATTGCTAGTCTACGTTGCTAATGAGAAAAACCATTCAATATTCTCTTCGATCCAAATGGACCCTGGCAATTCCTTCCCTCCCTTTCCACATAGATTTATTAATACTTCTTCAGCATCAAGGGAAATTTTCCAAATGCCTTTTTTTATAACAAGTTGTTTTAATTGATTTTTATTAAATCTCTCTCAGGTTACCAAGCCTCAAGCTTCCTGTTTGATTGTCAATCTAGTGGATCAAGATTATACTTAACTTTGCAGTATTGTACAATGATTTAATCATGTGCAAACAAAGATACATAAGCTGGAAAATAACCATGTGCTTCCCCAAAGTGCAATTTAACAACGAGGCGGCTCCTCAGCCCTCTGTTCCTAGGGCCCCGGTGCTCCTTCCCGAGCCCTTTGCCCTCCTCGATCAGTGCGCTCAGGATCTCGTTGAAACTAATTCCTCTGCGTCTGTCAAAATCTGCCTCCAGAGAAACAGCTGATGTCATTTGCATGTGCTCTCTGTCCTGCCTTAAAAAGCATTGTAGTGAACAGGAGTTTTCTTGGTTAGCTCCTTCAAGAGCGTCCAAGAAACCACGCTATCATCTGTAATGCAAGGCCGGCCCTGAACCTTGACTTAGAAACCCTGGCCATGCCACGCCCACCGTAAGAGCCCTTGATTTAGTTTTTGAAACCCTGTATTTATGGTTATGTTCTTGAGAAACACGTTCAAAAACCTTATAATCACATAATTCATACGTGGTATGTAGCTAAGCTTTTTTTGCCTTCAAATAGCTCCTATCTTTTAGAATAGCAGAAAATCAGGGGGGAAAAGGGAACATCACTGATTTGCAGGCTCCATTGCAGACTTATTTACTAGATGTGATTGAATAGCATGATTTCTAGGATGGGAACTGAGTGAATCATGATGCCACCCTTCCATAAAATCGAAAATTGCAGCATAATGATGCAAAATAATGAGTCTTGCATTTAAATGTAAATACCAATACTTTAATGATCGTTCTGACAATGTATGATGCTCCTAGGATAACGAATGTTGTAATTGTATTGATAGCTGTGATAGATGTGCTGTCAGGAAATAGGATTGATTTTAGAAGCTTTCCCATCAGGATATTGCTATTGTTTACCCATTCAACAAAATTATTGAGCACCAACTATGTGCCTGACATTGTACTGGATGCTGAGGACACAATAGTAAACAAGACACAGTCTCTACCTCAAGGAACTTGGAGCCTATCATTTCATGGATGTGCGGGGCAAACCCGCACTTCTGGAAATAGACCATCTGCTCTATGGTTAAAACAGGCACACCCAGCGAATCCATCCTTTGCCCCCTTAACAGCTCATTCGGGGGCCCTGCCACTGAGACTGAAATTCCCACATTGCTCATATCTTTGGGTTCAAGCTTTGAAAGTTCTTAGTTTTAAAATAGCAATGACAACAATAATAATAACAATAGTTGTAGATCTTTATTGAGCACTTACTACATTATGTGCCAGGCCCCGTAATTAGTCGTCGATCCTTAGATGCCTTATCTCGTGTGATGACCCTGACAACCTAGGAAGTAGATATGTGGCACTTCCATTGTACAGTGAGTGACTTGGCCCAGGGTCACTTTGCTGGTGGGGGTTGGGGCCTGGTGCACTTAATCACAACTAAACTGCTGCATCACCAGGATTTGCTGAGAAGGAAACACATTTAGCTGCTCGCCATCATCACCTCAACTTGATTATTTGATGATTTTGCAGTATAACTGAGTTTATTTGCTAATTCATACCAAATTAGTGTACTTGACTGACTTAACCAGAAACCTGGGTCCCGAATAGTTGAGCCACAAGACCAGGTGCTTCCCTGTTCTAAGAAGAGTAAGAGCTGGAGCGTGGGTTTAGCGGGAGAATCCAGTGTGTCTGAGTCTCTGCAGCCACGGAAGGGACCTAAATGGCAGGTGGGACAGGAACGGCTGTCTTATGAAGGGATGGGAAGAACCAGAGCTTTTATCCTTCCCAAGGGATAGTTTTGCCGAGGGCCAGTCATATGCAAAATGATTTGAGCCAGTCCTCTGTACCATCGTGGCCAGGATTTTTACTACAGGACGAGACTATTACCTCTGTGTTGTTCTTGCTGTGGTGCACCCTAAATTCACTCTGATTGCCTCTCTCAATGGGGGCGGGGGGAGGGTAAGCTCAGGGCACAGTGGTGCTGCAGACACTGGCTAGTTACTGACACAGCTCACGGGAGCATCTGAGGTGTCTCAACACACAAGATGCAGAGGAGGAACAGCAGCTCTGCTAGTGACTGTGATGTCTCAGCAAAACGGACAACACTTAAGGATTTCAAGGTGTCCCAAACGCCCTCTCATGTCATTCTGCACCAAGGTGGTTTAGGAGCAGGCTTTTGCTCTTTTCATATTTCACTTTATGTAAACTATAAGCAGCGAGGTAATTCTCTGTTGCCCTTTTCAACTCTTAGGTGACTCCTCCTTCTTCCCAGTTTTCCCAAATGTCTTCTTGGAGTCCCCTCTCCCTCCCCCATCTCAAAGCCCTGCCCCCAGGGAAATGCGGCTGACCCCCCCACCCCACCCCCGCGGGTCCTCAGTGGCACTGCCATGCCTGGCAGCCTGATTCGTTTCCCTAATGCTTCAATCTTTATCAGTTCCCCTGCTTGAAACTTCCTTCTGCCCTTCAAGTATCTTTAGAGCAATCCCACATAATCTGCAGAAAGCCTGTGGTTTACTGGCCCACAGACCTCCCCAGGCTCACGCCTCCTCCTTCCTCCCTGCCTCACTCACTACTATCCAGCTCTACGGAGAGCTAGCAATCCCTTCCCTGCCAGACCCGGGCCTCCACCAGGAAAGCCTCTCCTCCACCTCCTCTCCTCTCACTCCTCCTCCCACACCATGGACTCCTCACTTCCAGGTGTAGAGCACCCCCTGCTGTCACCACACTGAATTGTAATGTCCTCTTGACAGTGTCCCTCCCTAGACGTTAAGCTCCTTGAAGGCAGGGACCATGCCCTGTGCACCAGTTGTATCCCCGGCACCTAGCACAATGTCTGGCACATCATAGGTGTTAAGCGAATCCTGCTTGAATTAATAAGGGAATGAGTGAAGGAAGGAACGAACACAGGCTTTACCCTTGCCGTGAGTGGATAAAGTTGGTGAGACCGACTCCCTGTTCTGGCGCTTGTCTGTGAAGTCTACATCAAAACAGACACAAAGAGAGTCAATGTGCTGGTTTTAATAATTGCGGTCCACTAATTCCAAGAGTCCCTGGGCATAGGGCATAGGGGGGACAGAGCTGTGTAAATACAAGTCCTTCCCTAGACTCTGGCCAAAATGATTTCTAAGGAAGAGGCTTCTTTCCTTAGAAATTCCTGGAATATGCACTTATGTTCTTTAACACTAAAGTAAAAGTGAATGGAAATTTTAGAGTGCACAGATACTCTTTTGACTATATATTTAGCGATGTTGATTAAATGGGCCTAATGTTTGATCTTGAAAAGGACTTTTCCATCACCAGGAATCTATTCTCAACTGACTTAAACCACAACTTATTCCACAAGACAATCAATCAGACCCTTACTAGGGTTACATGAATAGGAACTTTTTCCCATCTGGATCAGATATATTTATAGGTGAGCCACATGAAAATAAAATATATTTAAATAAAACACTTATTTAGGATCTCTCTATGCTTGACAAAAATGAAAATAATATGAAGATGTTACCTTTCTATGCAATCACTAAAACAGAAAGGAATAATCATTGAAAACACTGTGTAGCATTGAAATGCAATTAAACCCTCAGTGAACTTAAGCTTCTTTATCCATGAAAATGGTTATTCAAAGCTTATATTCTAAAAATTTTGGAGTTTTCATCTGGTGTTTTAAACCATAAAGAATAACCCCAACTAACAACATGTATAGTATTTATTGCAGAAACACAATAAATATAAAACATAATAGCCAATGCCATTAAAGCTTAAAAATTTAATGAACATAAAATATAAAGAACCAAATGATGCTGGCACTTCTCATTTGAACAACATATAGAAATTATGTGCTGGCAATAAGAACAGTGGGATCTTTATAACCTGAAAAGCAACTAAATGCTTTTAAGCTGTAGAAACCCTAACGACTTTGAACATCGCTCCCCCGGGGTTGCCTTAATATAAGAATCATGTGGGATTTATCATCTTAAGACTTTCTGAAGCACATCCTGCTGCACTGATGACCCAAGTTTTGTTTTAAGCACAGGTTTGCTAGATGTTTCAAAGCAGGAAAAGTCAAAGCATAAGTGTAGAAAGCTATGCAACAGTATCTCTGCTCTCGTTTGTCTTTTATGAGCAAACAAATTCAGCAAATAGGGCTTCCTGTATGAGTTTCTGGGCGTTAATATTCATGTCAAACAACTCAAAGGAACTTTCAAGTTACTGCAGAAAGTGTTGATTTAGTGAGACTATGGGTGTGTCTGCTGACTGACCTGCTGCATGAGTATCACTGACTGGGCGAGGCCTCCCTGTCCCTCAGCGGGGGGGTCTAGGCTGCTAGGTAGCAGTTAACTGTTGCTACAAAAGCAGGTAACTGTTGCAGCCGAAGGGGATTCCATCCCTCAGCCACAGCAAAAAGAACATTCCTGTCCTGCTGCTGCCAGTTTCTGTACCAGAAAGGCTCTTGGTGAAGGTGTGCCTTTCATTACATTCCAAAGTTCTAGATAGTTACCAATTATCACTGTTTTGGGCCTTTCCTTTATTTCCTATTGGCATGGCATCTAGATAGCTGGCCATTGTGACTACAAACTGAATTTTTAATCTACAAAATCATAACTCATGGAAAATACCATTGTAAGGTGGGGTGCAGGGTGATAGATATTCTGCCCCCCATTCTTTGTTGTATAATAGAAATATATTTCTATAAGCCAGGAGTTAGTATATCTGCCTATATAGTTTCTTAAGGTGAGCACCAATACAGAGTTGTAGCCATGGGCAAATACATGTATTTGTTTAGTAAATGTGCTGCCCTCTGCTGTTCAGTGTTTTTAAAATAAATTTCCCTTTAAGAAATTTCTGTGTCCCCTTAGCAAAACAAAACCTGTGCTTGAAAGCAGAGATGATAAAACCAAGAATTAATAATGTGTTTAAAGTATGTAACATTAGAAACTATGAGACTTAAAAATGCTAAAGTTTAGTTTTTCTGTAAAAGAATTACTAGGCCTCTGTAGACAGAACAAAAATTGCTGAACAATTCTCTCTGGTATCTTTTGCCCTAAAAATCAGCTCCAGTGGAACTAGCCCGTGAAATAGTCATAGACTGCAGCTACTACTTAAATGTGTGTGTTTTCTTACTGAGCTCAACCAAGCACAGGCTCTGTGACTATTGTACAAACTATAGTACAAACATACAGTCATATTACGCCCGCATCACTTAACATCCCCATCCAAAACACCCCCCAGGCTCCCAAGCAGCTTTGATCATGATAAGCACGACCCGTGTTGGATAACTTAGACCCTTTCACTCTTTTGCTCTGATATCTCAAGTCTTCTATTACTGTCTGTAGCTACCATTATAACCTCATACTATAAAATATTGAAATAAAAAGCACATCTCTAAAAATACATCGGATATAACTGGTTAATAAATACAGGCTATTTATTATTAACAAAACTATTGGGAAAGATCAATGAAACACTTTGACAAGCTAATTTCAAAACGACGGTTTTTGTCTGAGTGTGGGCTCTCTCAAAACACCCAGTACTACAAACACTATGTCCTCTCCTGGCCAGGGGGCATGGCTTTTAAGGAACTGAAAGGCTTTTCTTCTGACTTAAAATACTACTGCCCAGTTGCACCATGTTTAACTAGAGCCATGTCATAATTATCGAAGAAGTAATGACCCTTACGTAGTGCTCTAAGCATCCATTTTTAAGAGAAAATAAACAGCCCAAATCAACCTGGTCAGGCATGAACTATTGGAAAGCACTAAGACTATCGCTGGGTAAACCCTCCCTCCGTGACTGTTTTCTCTCTTACTGAAGTAATTGTATGTATTTTTTCAAACTGCTTCTATCAACACCCCGCGTTTTCCTTAAATACAATATTCAGAAATCACTGGAGGGGAGCAAGTCCGTTGTAAAAGTTGGCTTTTTCTCTAAATCAGAGTGTTACCCAAACCAGGGTAGGATTTTTCTCCCTCACCCTCTCCCCAACCCTAAGCTACCCTAAGCAGGACTGTGGAAAAAAAAACACCCTAACCCCACCCAAATCCCCTTCCCGAGCCCCAGGTCGACAGGAAGACTGTGATGTCTGGGGTCCCTCATAAAACGTGACCCTTCTTCCCTTTCTGGGAGGTTCCTTGCCTTCACATCTTTTCAGTGGCCCAGACCTTCCCGAGCGACCCCCGGGACCCTTGTGTCTTGCCGAAGGCTGCTTGTGGTGCCTCCTCCGTTCCCTCCGGAACCTCTGCGCCAGGAGTCAGCGTTGCCTCCCCCTCTTTCTTACAGCCCCCCCTCCCAACAGCTCCGACACCTGTTCCAAGGGACCCCGGCCGGAAGCCTATTTCTCTGGCACCGTACGGAGCAGCCGCTGGGAGCCCCTCCCCTCCGCCCAGGAGCGGGCTCCCCACGCCAGGCCCGAGCACCCCGGCTCTCTCTCCCACCTGGGTGAGCTCCTTCCTTCTCCCACGCCCCTGACGCCGGTCTGTCGGGAGCTCGGGCGCAGCCCTGGTCTTCCCGAGGCTCCGAGACCCTCCGGGCCGGCTCCTCCCCTCCGCCCCCACCTCGCTGCCCCTCCTCTTCGCTCCTGGACCCCAGGTTCTTCGCGCCAGCCGACCCCTGACAGCGCCCCCAGCACCTCTCACTCCTCCCCACCGTGCATCTCTCCCCACCTGTCCCTCCCGCCTCCCCGGCCCTCCACCTCCATGCACCTGCTGCAGACCAGGACGCAGCGGTGACGCCCCCCGTCCCCGTACCAAGGGCTCCCGGTGACCGAGTTGAGCCTGTTTCAACACTCTGGTGGCCTGTCGGCGCCCCTTCTCGCTGTCGCAGGCAGTCGTGCATGGTTAATGCCCCAAGCTAAGGAGAAACGGGAGAAATGGTGGGCAGAGGAGGTAGCCTGGGGCCTAAGCGGTGCCGTCGAAGCCCGCCTGCGCTCCCAAGCCGGCCCGGTGTACTCGGCCGCCCCGGCTCCCCGCGAGGGTGCGCGCTGGCCTGGGCCGCGCCGCCCTCGCTCCGCTCAGTGTGCCTTTTCCTTCCCTCTTCCTCCACGTCTGCGCCAGCCTGATCGCATACGACCAGATGACATAGATTTAGAGAATGAGCCCTGGTATAAATTCTTTTCAGAACTGGAGTTTGGACGCCCGGTAAGTGAGGCTAGCCCCTTCATGTAAGAAAAGCAGGAGAATGTTGTTTGACTTAGGAGACACACCGTTATCAGAGGAGATAGGTGTCGCCCCGAGCACAGAAATTGAGTGTGTACTTAGGTACACAAATTTGGAACAGCTTAGCCCGCGGTCGCTTCTGTGCCGAGTGGTGAAACCTGCTCAGACGCTTGCTAGACTGTTTTCCTTGACCACCAGTCGTGCACTAGGATTACTGTATGTCGAAGCAAATTCAAAATTACAGACTTAGAGAAGGTTTGGGTTTGTTTACAGTCCATTTTGGTCTAGTTGACTCAGAACAGCACTGCGACACTTGTAACAATAACGATCACTCTTATTAGAGCTCCCTGTGGCTGAACACTCCCTAAGCGCCTGGAGGCTGCTGGGTCCCCGGTCAGTGTCCCTCCAATGAGAGGAAACCCGAGACCAGAGGGGTCAGGTATTAAGCGCAGTCCCATCAAACAGACAAAAACACCTCTGGGCAATTTCCACTCTAACATACTGCCAGAGTACTCCCACTATAAAACACCTTGTTTAAAACACCTTAGGGATATAAGGGGGTGTGGGAGCGGGGCGGGGGGCGGGGATAAGAACACTCAGGACCTTAATTTCTCGACTCGCTCCCAAAAGTCACCACAACGCTCATCCCCACACCGCCACCCAAGGCGGGCCTTATGAGAATCACTCAGTCTGTTCCGCGGAAAGAGTTAACCCGGGCCTCAAATAACAGTTTCCTTTATCCACTCGGGTTTTATTGGGGAACTCTATCCACCAACAGCAGAGCATCGGAGGAGTGTCGGTTACATATTTTTTATATTTTACTGGTGTTTCTGAATTTTAAACTCTCAGAGGACATACTGATTATTACACTGCACAGAATGTTATTAAAAATCAGCGAGTACAAACATTCTTTTGCCATATCTTAGGCTGATTTATATGCTCGTATACTAAACCACATTTTCTCTACTGGGTGGTTATAGTAGTCCCTTCTACCCATTAAAATGCAAAGGAGACTTGGTTAGATTCATTATCTTATTGAACTGGACCAAAAGTGACTGTAAACGAATATAAACCAAAGAACTTTCCCTAAACTTTCTGTGCCTTACAGGAGGAATATTTTCTCCCATTTTTTTTCTACTTTGCACCCAAGTCATCACATAAATGTAGTTGATTTCAGAGAAAACAAATTTCTTACCTTGATTTTATAGGTATTGTTACTGTTGATTAGACAGCTTATAGGGACTCTACCCATTCCTACTCTGAGCCTAAATCACCAGCATTTTTCTATAATCATTTTCAGCCACGCACAGAAACTCACCAGCATGCCTGTCTCCTTGTCTGCCTGCTCCTTTAATGTTCCTTTAATAAACCTGCATTCCTCTGTGGCTCGCAACTGGGAGTGCTAATTTGATTTGATGGAACGAATTGATAAACACACTAATCGAATCACGTGTAATTTTGCCCGGTGCTTGAGAATATTGACGAACCCGGCACCCTTCCTCGTAGGCCACCCCAGGGCGCTCCACGCGCGTCACTCTGTGTGTATCTGATGCTGTCGTCACTCGGTTTCTAACTGTTGTCGCCTTTTCCACATGTTCATTCCTTGCTGCCATTGACTCTCCTCCATTCCATCTCTGCACTCTGCTTATGTGGTGCACCGACACCCAGCCTCCTAAAAAGGCTCTGGACTATGTGCAAGATCATTCTTCTGGTGTTTCCAATGAGGTAAAAACAAATTATTCTTTTTTTCAGATTTCTCTCTTAGGACCTGTTACTGTGATTCTGAACATCTGTGTTTGGCAATGCACTATAGTGTCTCAGCTGTTTTTGAAAATCGACGTTTGCATCGTTGGGTTGTAGCCGATATCGTTCCTCGGACATTAGTTGTACCGAAGGCGTGGGCTCCTTCAGAAATCCTTTCTTCACGGGTGAAGAATCACTTCAGCCATAACTGAGCTGAATGATTCGGTGCAGTCCTGGTGTCCAAGAGTGTGATCATCAAAAATCAAGAGTAGGAGCCGTAGGGGGTATGGGAACCACCTGTTTTCACTAGACTAAAATGTTCCTAGGAGGCCTCTCCGAGCCATTTTAGCCTCATGCATGGAGGTGCAGAATGACCCCTTAGATTCTTAGATAATCAGATGTTTATGCCCCACAAAGTCCCAAAACGTATGTTAATCCTTTCATTTTCTTAAACACAATTTGTACATTTTAGCATCAGATAAAATCAAGAATAGGGCTGGTGTGTATACCTAAGACTCATACAAAATATTATTGAGTATAAACTATAATTGAAAAAAATTCTGAATGCACAAACGGAACAGGGCTGATAGATAACTGGGACATATAGCTCAGCTTCCCAGTCCCACATCCTTGACAGACATTACTAATCCTCCTCCACGCTGCAGTTCAGGCAGCCGCTGTGATCGATTATGACTGGCGTGTGACATGAAATGCATTGGCCACCTCTACTTAGAAAATGTTCATGGCAAGCTGCTAAAACAAAATTATGCCGAGCAATGTAAAATGTTATCTGAATTGGTCAGAGAGCGTGAAAAAGGCAGAAATAATCCGGAGTCAAATCTTTCTATCCTGCTCTTAACAAAGAACTATAAAATATTTTGGAAGACAGAGTTAGGCCTCCTTAGTAACAAGCAAAAGTGACAGTTTTGCTAAATATCAGCTATGTAAAAGCCTCCCTGCAGGAATTCTTAGAAACAGCTAGGATGACACGAATAAACTGGTGTTTGAACAGCAGTTTCTCTGTGGTTCTGAGTACAAAAACACTTCATAAATATTTCCTTTTCATTGAAAATCTTAACTCAGTTAAATATGTGCAACTAGAAAATAAAATGCAGCTAGTAGAATGCCTATGCTGCAGGAAGTACTACCAACACATGGTGGTGAAAACAGGAATTGCAAGCACAGTCTCAAGGAAATAGCCAACTTGCTACAGATCCAATTTGCAATTCCAAATGTTTCCCCTGAGCTATGTATCAGAGTGTATGTTAAATAGACATAACCAAAATATTTAGGTATTAAATTAAAAGTAAAGTAGGGTAATCAGGAACATTTTGGGTTTGTGAATTCAGGCATTTCTACACACTTATTTTTTTGTAGATGGGCATGTAAAGAAAATCAAATACAACAAGCAATTCTATTTACTTTGGAATTCAATTTCATCAGATATTTCTTTCATATTCTGGTCAGATATTTCTAGGTTGTTTTTAAGGCAGTTGGTTCATTGAAAACTGAAATAGAATTTGGAGATCACCATATCCAACTCCCTTATTTTTCAGTCAAGAAAAGTAGAGCTCAATTATTTTAGGAAGTAATGTCCAAAATCACATGGTAAGATGGTGGCAAATTAAAAATAAAATAGGTCTCTTCACCTTCCCTCCCAGGCTATTTCCTTTATACCACACTTCTTAGCACTTCCAAGAGATATGTTTAGTGCTCAAATCTTTTAAAAACAAGTTATGTACTTAATACTTTTCCTTACTAACTACTGACTTCTGTTAAATTCTTGAGCTAACAATAGTAGAAACTTCAGCCTGTGCATTCTATATTGTTATGGCAGTGGCAACAAAAATCACATGAAAAAGCACTTTGCTGATGATTAAACTGGTTTGCTATTCTCTTTGGGGTTAAGAGGGGTGTTGTAGGATTATGATAGCATATTAACTATGTTATTAATTTCCCATCATGGATCTTCAGAGTGTAAAAAATATACTTTGGTAAAATACTGTATTTTGTAAAAATTATAACTGATTAGACATTACCTTAGCTACCAAGAACCTAGTAGCAAGTGCCTAGTATATGCCATGAACAACATATTTTCTAATCCATAAATATAACTGAGAAACTGTCATTAATGAAGAACAACTAAGGACTTCTAAGCAAAATATAATCACATGATCACTTAACAGAAAGAGTTATTAAGTGTCTACACTTTATTTAAATGGCCTTTGTTTAGGGCCTTTTAAATGTTAAAATAATGGTAATATGTAGAAACTCAATAGATCATAATAGATAAAATAGGTTACCTCTTTTCTGGGGACAGTTCCCATTTCAGGATGAGCACCTAGTCTCAACTATCTAGAAGTCTCTACTATCTACTAACTAGAAAAACTATCTAGATTTTTTACTGCTTTCTTAGAATTTAATACTGACCCTTTTCTTTTGAGTATATATAAAATCACATAATTCATTTCAGTTTATTTTAGATTGTGGAAACTAACACAAGGAGGAGTTACTGTAGTTTCTTAGCCTAAGTCTAAGACAATAGGAAATGTAGAGCCTTCATTTCACATACGATGTTTTAACTCATGTTACGATATTGTTGAGGCTCATCCCTAGCGGGAAATTCAGACTTTCTGATCACTCTAGGGGCGCTCAAAGACTGCTCGGAAATGGACACCTCTGGAGGGTCAGCTGTCTTTTGCATTTGGGGGTCCTAGGACAGGGGGGGATCCATACAGATGGAGTATTCCAGGGCTCTCTGGCTTTACCCTTCTGCAATCATGTACAATTAATACTTCTGAATTGAAATATAAGTATCTGGTTGTATTTATTTCCTTGCTTGCCTACCTTCTTATTTAGTATTTATTTTTCCACCTTTCCAGTGTCTGATTCATAGTTCAATGGGTAAAAATAATCTTGTAAACTTACCAGATCAGCAGGCCAAAGTTTTCCTAACTTTATATTTGTTGAAAACCTAAAAATCTAAATACTTCTAGGAACTAAAATTATTAGAATATGCTTTTTCTGTCTAACCCCGGGGGGAAATATTCTTACAGAGGACGTTTTCGTTTGTTTCTGGGCCAGATTCCATTCTCATTTAATAAGATGGAATTAAATGAAAATATAACTGAATAGAAGCAATTTTAGAGTTCTGTATAAAGGGGCTTGTCAGACTGACCTACATCAATAATCTCAAAATTATATACTAATATTTTAACTGGTTAATTGGTGCTAATTTAAAAACAGCAACTGAACTTTTCGAAAGAGTTCTTAAAGTGCAGTTTAATTTTACTAGCACTCTGGTAAAATATTTCCTAGTGGTAAGAACTTAAGATAAGCTGCGTCGAATTCTGCCTTTCTGGCTGACATTTAGACATTCATATGGAAGAGCATTTTCAAACTAGAATTTCTTCATCTGACCAATGCACATTTGTGATGAAGTAGTAATCACTAAATATGATCAAAGCCAAAACTAGTTAGTATACACTTCCATATATATTCTAGACATCAAGTCACCTCCAACAATCTATAGTTCAATATTGATCTCCTCTTGCCTTTGAGGTAGTTTAGCAATTATTCCAGTAGATTGCCATAAAAAGTAAAACATCCTTATGTAGCACTTTTGCTTAATATCTGTTTCACTGTACTGTTCAGAATAAAGGAATATGAAAATGCTGTGTATAAGAAGCATTTGGAATTATTTACCAATTTGTATTTTCTATTTTTCTTTGGTCCTACAACCATGGACAACTGAGAGTTGATTTTCTAATGAAAATGTAAAACGCTGACTTTTTTTTTAAAAAAAGGCTATATGTTGGTTCATTAAATCGTTTATTCTAAATTAACCCGGAATGTAACTATTTGAAAGATATAATCTGCACCTGATTAAAGTACCAGTAATTTAGTTTAATTTCAAAGCAAATGTTGTGGTTTTTATTGAAATCTCATGCCTAGGTTGACAGATGAAAGGTGTTTCAAGTCCTGCTTAAATATTAGGTTTTAGAGATAACACCTGGCAACATGACAAAAATTATGGAGTTATGTTTTATAACGATCGAATGACTTCAAATTTTTTTAAAAATCAAACCATTCCTTTGTGTAGGAAATTTATATTTATAATCAATGTCCTACACGAAGGAGGAGTTATTGATTTTCTTATTTCCCCCAGGCAATGTTTACGTTGTAGGTAATTAAAGTAAAATAGAGAGATACAGCACAGTCTATCAGAAGAGAGAGTAGATAGGAAGAAAGTAGAAACCAGCTTGGCATAGTTTCTTTGACAGAAGACACTTTTTATGATCATAATAAATGGTCATTTTATTCTCACTTTTTACAATACTCTTTTTAGCATACCTAATTTAATGTTCGTGGACAAAAGAAATGTTGCTATGGTAGAAATTTTCATGATACTATCATTCTATCTTCACAGGCCTCCTTGTATCAATCCACGATAGATAGAAGTCTGGAAAGACCCAGCAGGTAAGAATGTTATTACATTGTGCAGCTAGAATGTTGCATACTAGTGGTTTCTTTTGCAGCGACATAGTAATGAGGATTTCATATCGTGTTTTTATTTCAGCATCATACTTCAGGAAGTGGTTTTATTTTGTTTCTGCCTTATTTTATGTGGTCATACTCAAGAATTTGTAAAAGTCAAGTGAAATAACTTTGGATTACTTTACAGACTGAGAAATTCTTCCTTTTTCTATAACCAGATTTTTTTTCCTTTAAGTGGAGATTGTAAACATTTAATTTTCAATATTGTTATATGGCACATGGAATATATTTGAAAATTTTTTTACATTATGTTCTCCACATATTTGTTCATTATACTCTGTCCACACAAATCAGAATTACAGTTACTACTAATAAATGAGGGTTTACTATGTACCAGGTATTCTGAAAACATAAACATATTTAATCCTTAAGGCTTCGCAGTGAGTTAAGCACCATTCCCTCCATTTTATCTCTGAGTAAGCTGACCCTTAGGCTGCGTAACTTACCAAGTTTGCACAGTTGACAAAAATACAGATACAAAGGAGAATCGAACCAAAAATAGCTGGTAACTGACTACTGGTCCTGCCTTAAAAGTCTGCCACGGTAAGCTCTGTTGGTGGGCTTCGCACGTCATACTTTAAAATATTACAGAAATTCAGACACGGTATATGAATATTGAATAATTCGGCAACTCCCAGCCACACTGTATCATCAACACATACTCAGATTCACATAACATTAATGTTCCCTTGTATAGATTTCTTTCAACGTAAGTAGGAGACTTTGCAAATTGGGTTCGGGAGTGCCACCCAACAACATTAATGTCACTAGGAAAGGACCTCCCCGAACGCCTCCTTTTATATAATTTTCCGTCTATATATGCACCTAAAATGTGTGCATTTCAGGGCTCTACTCTAACCTGAGGGTTGCTGTAAAGACACACGGACCCTCACGTGACAGAAGAATGACAGCAAAGCAGCGTGAGGAGAAGAGGGGGCGCCCCTTTCGAAGGGTGCAGCCAGACCCTGAGGTCTGGCCCTGCCTCTGCACGTGCGCATGGGTGTGTTCCACTCACTCGTTTGAGGAACAGGGGCGACACTGGGGTACAGAAGACACTGGTGTCAGTAAAGCCAACAGCCTCCTGCTGGCTCCCAGGGGCTGGTGTGCGTTTGCTGCCACTGTTGCTGCCATTTGATCGAAGGGCTCGACAGAGAGCAGGCTGCGTGATGCACGCCTTCCTCCACTACCGTGTGCCTTCTCTGATACTATACTCAGACACAGGACCGTGAGAAAAATGTCCTGCCGTTAAGACTGTCGACACCATTTAACACAACTGGGTGAAAGGACTCTCTAATAGTTTCTTTGCTGACCCAGTCATTGACAATTCGTTATTTCATGAAAAATCTGGAAGTCCAGCGTAAGGTCTTTAAAGCTGCCACGAGTATTAAGAAGAGCCCTAGGGGAGCCCTGAGGGAAGAAATTCGTCTTACGTGATGGCTTCCTCTTCTCCAAGCCTTTCCTCCATCTCTGCATCGCTCCTCTGGACGCGTTCACATTGTGAGAACTCTTCCTTAGGGACAACAGATACCTGACACAAATCATAAGACTGAATTGTCAGCTATAACATATTACACTAAATGGAGAATTTTTACTTTAAAAGATGATTGTAAACTCATATCCACACAAAAACCCGCACATGAATGTCTATGGCAGCTTTGCTCATAACTGCCCAAACTTGGAAGCAATGAAGATGTCCTTCAGTAGCTGAATGGGTAAACACACGCTGGTACATCCACATAATGGAATATTATTTAATAATAAAAAGAAATGTGCTATCAGCCAAAAACAAAAAACAGAGGACAGGAGGAAATCTGAAAGGCACATTGCTAAATGAACGAGGCCAATCTGAAAGGCTACATACTGTAGGTTCCCATTACATGACATCCCAAAAAGCGCAAAACCATGGAGACAGTGAAAAGAGTGGGGGTCGCCAGGTGTTCCCAGGGAGAGAGGGAGGAAGAGGTAGAGCACCTGGTTGTGGGCGGAGGGGGTATGGCAATGACACTAAGTTTCTATAGGATACAGGAGTGATGGGACACATGTTGTTCCACATTTGTCAAAACTCACAGAATGTTCCACAGAAAACTTGAACCCTATGGAAATTTAATTACATGTAACAGTAATGTATCAGTATAGTGCATCAACTGTGGCAAATGGGCCACGCTGATAGAGGATGTCAATAATAGGGGAAGCTGTGTGCAGGGGACTAGGTGGGGCTCTCTCTACTTTCCAATCACCTTTCCAGTCCCCTAAAACTGCTCTAAAAGAATAAAATCTATTACTTTTTTGAAGAGATGATTATAAAGAAATAGTGTTTCATATCAAGGAATGAACTCTTAAAAATGCAATTTGAGGGGTGGGGGATAAGAGTTAGAACCCTGTTACTGGCACATTCCACCGGTCTTTCCCATTCACATTGACCTTCTCCAGCACCAACGAAACTGAAGCCGATTCTTTCTTTCAGTTCTGCAAGCCTGGCCAGCGACTTCAGGAAAAGGAGGAAGAGCGAGCCCGCCGTGGGGCAGCCACGGGGCCTGGGGGACCCAAGGGCGCGCAGGACCAGCCCGGTGCGGGCGGACCTCCTGGGGTCCAGCACCACCCTCTCGCCGTCTTTCATTAGTTCTTCCCCCTCCTCCCCATCCAGAGCAAAAGGTAAACAGCGATAAACGGAAGAGTCAACTGGTTACTAGTTTAAGGTTTACCCTAGAGTTCCCTGTGAGGGCAGGTGCAGCGATAACTGTCCTGAGATGGCATTTAAACATAGCTTTGGAACAGTAACTTTCTTCCCACACAGATTAACTCAGGCTGGTGAGCCGTTTGAATGGCATAAAGGACTATCATCTGTTGATACTTTTTTTCCTTCTAAATATGTCATTTGTGGTCTTGTGAGGGAACACATTCAAAGTCTCAAACAATTTATCATCAGGCTAATTAAACGATTACATTTATAAACATTCGCATATTGTCAAGTTTTTCTAATAGTATACAACTAGTAAAATTAATCAGATTTCTAGTATACGAATTAGAAGTAGCAACAGACAACACTGTTGCCTTACGCATAAACTGTTTTTTATAATTATTTAATTCTAGATAAAATTTGTCTAACCTGTGAAGTCATTTCTTGACTCGTCAGCTGCATATTGTGGTCCGTAGTCATATACACAGTAGAATATCCATGTTCTGCATGTAATATAATGTTCAATCCATGACAGTACAGTAGTAAGAACTCCCTGGTTTTTAGCCACGACTATAAAATTTAGATATCACCAAGCCCTTGTCCTATGACCTATCCCCTCTGGAAATCCAGAGCAAGTCACTCCTTCAAGTCCCTGAAATACTACTGACTGCATTGCTGGCACCAGAACAGACATTTGCTAAGGAGACAGGATTGAACCAGCATCCCTAGGCGCCTGGGCCCATACCAAATGTGGGGCTCCACAGTCCCCTCAGCCTCCTGGGGTTCACACAGAACAGAGAAGGAATCTGAAATGTGCAAAGGAAGCAAACTTTAACAGAAGTTCCCATGCAATAGCCCAGATTCAGCTGCATGTATCAAATGTAGGCACTAAAAGTGTTGCCACATGGTAGTTCAAGGTGAGAGGTAGCTGGTGTGTGTGCAGAAGACAGGCTGGTTTTGATGCTTTGAGTCTGGATAAATGGAAGACACTAACTCTCTTCCATGTCCTAGTAAAGCTGTGAATACTGTCTCATGATATCTTTCCTTAAATTAACAAGGATGCTTTTATCAGATTCTACTACTTTATGCAAACAAATAGCTTAAGGTAACACATGGGTGATAAAACACCATTGATCCACTATGCTTGGATACCACCCAGAAGTCAGAAGAATTCTGTTTGATTTAGGTATCTGTTTTTATCTTAGGGATTGCTAAGCCAACCTCCTCTCCCAAACACTCCATATCCACTTGCTGATGTGCTTATCTACTTTTGAAGAGTTTGGGGAAGATTATAAGGCAGGAGCTGTTAATAGAGATATTTTCTTCTGCTAGGTGGATTTCTAAGAAGAAAATGTCCCATTAGATTTATTTGGCCTCTTGCTTATAAGTTAATTCAAGCAAAGCAAAAGAGAAGAGTATTTCCATACATGTTCCAAATTGAGGTCGTGTTTAGCTCTCTATTGTGAAATTGCAAATGAGTTTTTAAAAAGAGCCTCCCTGGAAAAAAACGAGATGCCTCTACCTCTGATATAAGTTTTACATTATATTCAGTTATCCTTAAGAGAACCTGACTAAGGAAAGGTTCTATGTAGAGCAATGAAAGAGGTAAATTAGTTTTGTTTAAAGAGATGCTAGTTATTTATTGTTTTCTTGGAAAAACATTAGCAGCAATAGTTCGCAGCATCTTGATTTTGCAGTTTTAGAAAATACCTTGCCTTTTTCTATCTAATGCCCATGAAAAATTAATTAATATAGTTGTGGGAGTTTTAATGAAATGGAAATTTATAAATTACACTTGGCCTCCCTATTGTATATTTCAAATGAGATTCAAATCCTAACCTTATTAAATTGATTTAACCTATATCACTTTTGGCATTAATTGTTCAGCATTTTAATTACTACCAGGTCATGCTATTAGCTTATAAGATGCCGTTGTATTTGGGGTGTATAATATTCACAGAAAGATGTATAAAGTATTCAATAGAAATAGGTTTATTAACTACACCCATTACTTTTGATACATGGTCTTGTAGACTCTAATATCTGCAAAGCTACATTCATTGAAAAATAGCATCGTGCTTTAGAATGAGACCTTTTCCTCTCACGTGGAACCGCCCCACGTAACAACAGGTGTCTAGCTTAGCCCGTGCTGCCTTCTCTTTGCTGTGCTCTCTGATGCTAACTGACGCGCTCTCCTCTTGGTGAAACTTCTTAACTTCTTCACATGTCTCTCTTCCACCACGCTGCTCTGGATTAAAAGGTGGGGATGATAGCAAAATGTGTCCGTCCCTTTGCAGTTACTCAGGGCCCCGCAGTAGCGCCTCCCACGAGGCCGATGACTGTAACCCTTACAGACAGCACCTGGACGTCCCGCGGGACTCGCCGAGGGCCGCCGCTTTCAAAAACGGCTGGCAGATGGCCCGGCAAAACGCAGAGGTCTGGAGCAGCACCGAGGAGACGGTTTCCCCCAAACTCAAGTCCCGCAGTTGCGACGACCTGCTCAACGACGCCTGCGACGGCTTCCCGGACCCGCAGGCCAAGTCGGAGAGCCTGGGCTCGCTGCTCTGCGCCGAGGACGCCCAGGCGGACTGCCCGGTCCCCTGGGCGTCCCCCTACCGCCCGGAGGGCCGCGGCGACGGCCGGTCGCGGCTCCGCCACCGCGCAGCGCACGACGCGCCGGGCTTCCTCAAACTGTACAAGAAGATGCACCGCATCAACCGCAGGGACCTGATGGCCTCCGAGGTGATGTGCTCCGTCAAGTCGAGGGTCCTGCAGTACGAAAGCGAGCCGCGGGACCGGGGCCTGCTGCCCGCCTGGAGCCAGCCCTCCGCCGAGGAGGTGCCCCGGGACATGGTCCCCACGCGCATCTCCGAGTTCGAGAAGCTGATTCAGAAGTCCAAGTCCCTGCCGAACCTGGGCGACGACGCGCTGTCTCCCGTCAGCCTGCGGCCGCAGCAGAACGGCCTGGGCCCGCAGCGGCGCTTTTCCATGGAGTCTTTGCTGGAGGAAGAAACGCAGAGCCGACGCCCGTGCCGGGCGCAGCAGAGCTACGCGGCGACGGCCCTGGTGCCCATCCACATTGAAGTCACCAGCGACGACCACCCGAGGCCTCGCGTGGAGTTTTCCGACAGCGACCAAGACGGGGTGGTGTCCGACCACAGCGACTGCATCCACGTCGAGGGGTCGTCCTTTTGCAGTGAGAGCGACTTCGATCACTTTTCCTTCACGTCCTCGGAAAGTTTTTACGGGTCCGGCCACCACCACCACCACCACCACCACCACCGGCACCTGGTCAGCTCCTGCAAAGGCAGGTGCCCCGCCTCCTACACTCGGTTCACCACGATGCTGAAGCACGAAAGAGCCAAGCAGGAGACCCCGGAGGGGCCCCGAAGACAGGAACTGGACCCCGGCCTCTCCAAACTTGCGTTTCTCGTCAGCCCCGTGCCTTTCCGGAGGAAAAAAAGTTCGGCCCCCAAAAAGCAGGCTCAAAAGGCAAAATGCAAAAAGTCTGTGTTTGAGGCGCTGGACTCCGCCCTGAAAGACATTTGTGACCAAATCAAAGCTGAAAAGAGAAGGGGGAGTCTGCCAGACAACAGCATATTGCACCGTCTGATCAGCGAGCTGATGCCCGACGTCCCCGAAAGGAATTCATCGCTTAAGGCTCTAAAAAGGAGCCCCAGGCACCAGCACTACCACCCCCTGCCTCAAGATGGTGCTACTCACTGCCCGTGGTACCCAAACGACTGTGGGAGACTGCCTCACAGTGCCTCCCTCCAAGACATGGACGCCAACAACAACTACCCCCACCAAGCCCCCGAGCGGGCCCTGAGTCTCCAAGGTGGATGAACCTTTCTTTGTTTCTCCTTGTGGTTCAGAAACACCCCCTCCCCCACCTCCAGCTCCTTCATCGCCCATTCCTGCATCTCCTCACTCCCCAGCCGGGAGACCCCCGGTGTCACTGTCCTGCAAACCTGTCTTACTGAACCGTTCTCATCTGCCCAGGTGATTCGTGGGCGTCATGCGTGGCTTAAAGTGATCCTCAATTCACAAAAATTTCCTCTTTCAAAATTGAAAGGGAAAACGATTTTGTAGCTTAATGTTAGGGTTGAAACGACTGTTAGTCATGACACACAGGAAATTAAACATTTGGCCAATTTAAAAAAGATTTCAAGGCCAATTAGAATTGAATGTCAGTATCCTTACAAGATTACCAGTTTCACATTAGCTCTTTTATTGTTGGAAACTGAGTCAAAACCAACAGTGTAACAAACAGTCTTTTCCTTGATTTTTTTAAACTCGAAAATAATTTTCTCATAGTCTGTATAGAAGATACTATATCAAAACAGTCAGGAAGCAAAACTGAAATATGTAAGGAATTGATGGACAATTAAAAGAGACTAGGATTTATCATTTTCTCCATTTAAAGGACACAATTGGGATAAAATTTTTGTGAATGTATCTTTAAGCTGTTTATATATAAAAGTCTCATTTCCATCACTCATTGTATTCATTTTCTCTTCCATTCTATTATTTATTTATTTTCTATTTCAGCTAAAGCAATTCTATACTGATATTTGAATTAGACCATGTAGGTTAAAAGTGACTCTCGACTCTACTTTCATAGATAGGTTATCACTTTGAAGTGGTAGCACAAAGGCAAATAATAATTCAGATGCAGAGAACATTTTTTTGAGGTTTACATAACTGAAAAGTACAAGGTGTTTTGATATCTTTATACAGTCATTTTCATTAACTCTTAAGGTGCCTCTGTTTCCTATGTAAATTTTAAGAGTTGGAATAAACATTCCAGGCTGAAACTCAGATCACCAACAGAGAGTCTTCTATGCACCAGACATGCAAAATGTTTTACATACATTATCTAATCAACACTGGCATGAACCGAGGTTATAGGTATTATTATAAACACTGTTTTACAATTAAGGAAACTGAGATCCAGAGAAGATGGGAAATTTGGCCAAGGCCACTCAGAAAGAAGGTAGCAGTGACAGATTCAAACTCCTAATACCTCAGAATTTGTAATATGGAATATAATCTCTACAGGCAAAAAAAAGAGACAATTCAAATTTCATATTAAAATTATATATAGCTCAATTGTTATTGCACAAATTTACTATATTAGTATTTATCTTTGCTCCATTTATACTATGCAACATGATTCAAAAACAATAAATTAGAATTTTAAAAATCAATTTCTACAATTTAACAATTTAATTTGAAAATTTAACTGAGACATGTCAGAACTTAATTTTTTAATTAAAAGGCTACCTTGTGCAATTTTTCAAAATCCTAGTTTAACCGCTTCTCAACTTTATGTGCAGATAGAAACATCATTTGAGAGGTCTTTGAAACACATTTAAAGGGTATTTCATATGTTAATAAAATATTTACTTTTCCAATTGTGTTTACCCCAAGTGAAAAATAGTTTATATTCCATGGGTTAGTAGAGGTAATTTAAAATTTTTGATCATTATGAGAGCCCTGTGATCATAAAAGTAGATTAATTTACAATGAAAAATTAGACTGCACATAAACCCCTAGCATTCATGAAAATAACTGGTTAAGTTTACCTTAAATATTTATGGCCATATTACCTTCCTGAGACATTTATCTTTACCTGTCATGTAATTGATATCCCAGCCACTGGAGCACACAATTCTTCCTAGTAATCAAAGTAGTCAAAGCCTTTAAAAGATGTGTTTTTTTTAATTAATCAGGACTTTTCATTTTTTTACAGATGGATTAAGCTTATATTTAATGTTCCTTGTTATTCAATATAACTAAATTTATTAAATGGATAAGAGACAATTTACAAGTTTTGACCCAGTTACGCTGGTACCATTTTATAACATAGGCCGCTGGAATACTTTTCGCCTCTAGTTACATTTCCACATGTAAATGTGGAAGATATACGATACCATGAAGAGATCCTTGCCTTCATAATTCTGTAAAGTAATTAATTTTTTATACTTCGTCTTAAGGGGACTGAAAACAATTCCATATTTCATAAGCAATTTGGCAACTGAGAGGTGATTTACTGTTTAGAGAATTTTTATCCCTTTGTTTCTTGGAATAAATATTTACTCTCTGATAGCCAGTTAAGCACAAAGAAAGAACAGAGATAAGGCCTCTGAAGCATTAGGCCTCACGATGACATCTCAAGACCTAATAAATATTTAACAACAGGGAGAGACGGAGACAGAACGGGCGCGACCACAGTTCTCTTACCGTCCTACTTTATTTTTCTCTTCCTTTTTTTTTACTACATCCTCAAGTTGTTCCACAAAATGGCTCAGTTTCTATACATTATTGCTATTCTCCATCTTCTTTAGATCTTATAATAGTAATTACAAATTGGAGGCAAAAAAAATAGCAATAAAAAAATTACAAAGTCTGAGATGAAAAATCCTCCCAGCTCTGAACTGTCAGAACCAGAAGCTGCTGTATAGTTACACAGCAATGCAGCAAGTATATTTACATGTACGATTTAATACTTCTGCAACCTCACGTATGCTTCCTTTAGAAATGCTGTTTTTGTGTCTAATATCAACTCTGTGGTCACCTGCGAGTTTGATACCCATGCTCTCCATTGTGGTGTCTCCATATTTAAGGGGAAAATCAGTTGCCACCTGGGAAAACGGCTGAGCAAGTCTGCTTTTAATAGGTGGATACTCACTCTGGCCCTGTCCTTTCCAATAGACCGCGAGTCCCCTAGGAGTTACTCCACTTTAACTGACCTGGGGAGAAGTGCGCCAAGGGAGAGAAGAGGGACTCCAGAAAAAGAGGTAGGTAGTTCAATAGCATTTGAGTTTTTTCCCCAACACGATACTTGATAAAGCACTTGCCAGTCCAAGTTACATCCAAAACCGGTAAAGAACCCAGATTAAAAACATTAAAATGACAACAGAAAAACTGAAAATGCTTTCCTCGGAGCCTGAGCAAAGGGCCAGAGCGGTTCGCATTCCGACCGCAGCTGCAGACCTTCCGCAGCTGGGGTCCAGTCGTGGCAGGGAGGCCTCTCTGCATCTTGACCTCACTCCCATGAATCAACAGCTAAAAGAGCCCTGAGCTGGGCCGCTCGCGGCGGAAGGAAGTTCCACCCTGGTACTGTAATAATGTCAGTGATGTAAGGGATGATGTAAGTGATGTAAGCGAGAGCACTAGGTCAATTGTATTGCAAAGCAATACAGTCTCCATAAATAATTTTTGCTGCCCTGCTTTTGATGGAGAGGATCCCTCAAAAACCACTGTCCCTGGGAACCACCTACCGACTGGCTCTTTGACCAGTGCCCTGAGCCAGGCTACCCTGGAGCTACAAAGTTCTGACGGAGTCTGAAAGCTGGTCTTGGACCAGAAGTCCCTCTAGGAGTGTCTCTATATGTGTCGGATAGAGGTCTGTGCCCGCAAGACCCCCAGAGAAGTCAAGCATGGCCCCAGTTGCCAACGTCCACCAGAATCACAGGGAGCAAGAGGGGGCCAAGGGAATGACTGGGGAGGAGGGAAGGAAGAGCTGGAGGAACTCGCTTATGGGCGCCCCAGTCAGACCTGCAGGCCCCGAGGTTTGGTGGGAGCGTGTGTCCCGTCATGGCTAAAAGATGAGGTGTTGGTTTACAGGGGGCACCAAAGAATCCCTGAACCCTCCAGGGAATGCAAGATCACCGAGCCTATGCTTTTGGCCACTGGCCAGCCTCCCAGTGACAACAGGACTAATATTTTTTTGCTACCATGTTAATAAGTGTTCAGAAAACAGGATTCTGACTTCCTGACTTTCACCAGTCCTTTTATAATGATTCAGGAGGAGCTGTGTCACTCCACAAGACATAGGCCAGCTGACTCTTCACAGCTATCCCAAGAAATGCCTTGGTTATGGCCAAAATGATACCTAGGACAGAGTCCTCTGCAGGCATTTCGTTCTCCTATTCTGCCATCCACCCGCTTTGGTTACTAAGATGAAATAGGATATTTCAATAGTTATAGTGAATAAGCATCTATTATAGTCCCACTATAGTTCAAATATTTAATGAAGAACTAAATGATTTATTCATAACTTGCATGTAGAATTTACATGATATATTTTTCCTATTCCTTGAGGTTTCACTTCTCTTTAATTCATATAAAATGCTTTCTTGTAGGGAAACCAAATTTTAAGTTAGTGCTAATCATTTGTCTTCCTTTTCAGAAACTGCCTGCAAAAGCTGTTTATGATTTTAAGGCTCAGACGTCTAAGTAAGTAAGAGAAGTATTTATCATATGATTTAAGTTGGCTTTAAATATTTTCTAATACTTTAAGAGAGAACTATTGCAATGGGATGTGCTACAAATAATTCAGCAATCCACTCTAATTAAAGGGTTCCTTCTGAATTAATTGGATGTGGGTGATTTTATTTTCATTTTGAGTTTAGTTGAGAGTCATCGAGTTTTAAATTACACTAAACATATTACAGCACAATGAATTCAAGAGGACAGGTTAAACAACAGGGAAATTAAGAATCTTTGGTTCTGGAATTTTCATGTCAAGAATGAATTAAAAATAAAGCATTGGGGAGTAATTAACACTTCTTGGGAAAATCTGATTACATTTATTTATCTAACTGTATCAAGGATGGTTTGTGGAGCTTAAGATTAGACTGTGTACAAAGATGCCTGTGGTAAAATCTCCACGTCTCAGCACTCAAAGCTCAGAGGTTCTGAGCAAGGTTCTCTCCTCTGGTCTTTTATTGTTGGTGTTTTCATACTCCTGTGTTGTAAATTTTTTTTACATTTTTTCTTTAGGACCTTGTTCATCAGATGGACAAGAGTCTGAGGGAAGTTAGTGCTAAGTACATGAGTAAGCTCAAATGGGAGAGTCTTACCAATCAATGGCCACTATTCAAAATGGCCGGGTGAGCGTGGGGTGAGTGAACTTATCAAAGTGGGACTTAGGAATTCTAGCCCCAGGAGGACCACAGCTTTGAAAAGTGTTAGGTGAGACTACTATCCTTTATCAAGGCGACTTCAAAATTTTAAATACTAAGACTTTACAAATAGAAACGATTTCTCTTCATAATCAAAAGAAGAATAATCAGCTGTCTCTAATTTACATGTTTGTTTTCTTTTTAAAAGCTGAGCTTCCTACTCTCATTTACAGAAACAAAACCTAATGGCACAAAGAAAACTATTGGATTATAAACATGAAATATTTTGTTTTGTTTTTTGTTTTCTACATCAGGAACATTCTTAAAAGGCAGAAGTACAGTGTTAGAGTATAAGGCTCTGTGAATCTTCTTTATCTTCAAGGTTACTACAAATGTAATGCCCTTTCAATGTGAAGATTTTAGCACTTCTAAATGTGTAATAATTCTTTTAATGTGCAATGGCTAGTTCAATTCATTCTTTTAATCAATAAAAATATTTCACATGTGATATATACCTCTCTCCATGAAATATTTCACACACAAAAATGATCCAACTCAAAAGTCTGAACTAAACGATGCAGAGGATTCAGAGCAGGAAGGTAGATGTGTAGGGAAGTAGGGATCTTGGGAAAATCCAAGAAACAAGCGACCTCTACCAAAAACACAATTGTGGAGGCAAAATACCACAAAGACACAATCACCTGCATGATGAAGCCACGAAAAACTGATCAAGACAAGGTGAGGATTTAGTCATAGGTTACTTGAAATGAGTAACATCTTTATAACTTAAAACTAAATATCCAAATATACCTAATGTCTTCTTAGAAGAGCCCAAATGGAAAAGCACAGTACCTTGAAAACATTTCTATTCTTTGAAAAAAAAATATGAGGAAGGCAACAAGCAATCTGTGTGTGTCTTTGCACTTAAAATAAGTTTATCTTCATGCCCCACTGAAAAATAAGAATATAAGATCTCTTCTGTTTCACAAAATAAATTCCTCATCAAGGTAGCCTTCTTAAAGGCTTATCAATCATCTTTAAAAATCCACAAGTAAAAATTTTTCTGGTGCTGGCATTTCTGTGCTAAGGTCAATGATATTTATTTTCCTTATTGTAAGCTTTAACATGTTAAAAAGGGAGAGAGAGAGAGAGAGAGAGAGAGAGAGAGAGAGGTAACTAACTAGCTCACCAGCTCACCAACTTCAGAAGAAAAAACATCGGTACAAAATTAATCCATTCTTATGCCAAGCTTTACAATTTATTTGCTATAAACTAATGACTAGATAGCAACAGTCTGTCCCTACCTTTAAACTTCACATTAATCTACCTGGGATTTATAGCAGACATGATGTTTATACCTGTTCTTTTTGAAATCATTTCTAAAGTCATGATGTTGTAAGTGAATTTGAAGAATTTGTAAGGAAAATCCTTATCCAACTGGGCTTCACGGATTTTTTTTTTTTATATTGGAAGTACATCTCCCCCAGCCAAATGCAAGTCTAGTGGTCTTAAGAATAATTGCTCTACCTCAGGCAAAACCCATTTGCACACGTGTCTTCCAGGGAACTGTCATTTAAGAAAGGAGATACTGTCTACATCCTCAGGAAAATCGATCAGAACTGGTATGAGGGGGAACACCACGGGAGAGTGGGCATCTTCCCCATCTCCTATGTAGAGGTGAGTCCTGCCCCTTCCTGCTTACATGGCTGCTCACTCCAATGCCCTCCCAGGTCAAGAATAAAGAACTATCTTCCTCCTAGAAACTCACACCTCCTGAGAAAGCACAGCCTGCAAGACCACCTCCGCCAGCTCAGCCAGGAGAAATCGGGGAAGCTATCGCCAAATATAACTTCAACGCGGACACGAACGTGGAGCTATCGCTGAGAAAGGTAACCTGACTGCTTCCTTTGCTGGTGCCTTGAAAGGAGGGCAGCATGTTTTCAAAACCAAAATAGGCTCTCTTCTTCTTAGACATTTGTGTGTTTTCCCCTACAGAAAGGGCAAAGGCCTCCTGAGGCTGCCCCGAGTCACTGTTTCCTGCTGTTCGCTCCCTGTGTCCAGATGAGGTCCCTGTGGGACCCCAAGCTTCTCAGAGAGACTCCCCATCCATGGTGTAGCTGGGGTGGGGGGGAAATGCTCTCCAAGGGGGGCCTCAACCTGAATATCATGGAGTTATTCTTGTCATCAAAAGGAAATGCACTTTAATATGTTCCAAAATATTGTTGTTCTACTGCCTTATCATTCAATTCTTTTAATTTTTGAAATTAATAATATTTACTTTTATCCTGGAATCAAGGAAAGTTTATAAAGTAATGAAGACATTTCCTCCTGGGGAGCATTTTTCCTTCTCTACGCCTCATGGCTGACCCAGGTTTCACTATCAACCTGCCCAGTTGCAGGTCCTCCTCTTCACAATATGGAGAACAACTCCGTGTAGCTTGCCACTCACACAGACAAGAATGATTCCACGGCCATTCTCGCTGTTTGCTAAGCTATCGCGTGTGTCTGTTTGAGGGTACTGTGTGTGTGCCCCCCACCCACGCTAGATAGCAATAGCACACAGGGAGGCTCCAGGACCACCCGCAGCTATTGGCGAGTGCTTGGCCAGGAGCAATGAAGGGAAATAGCGCATTCTTGTCCTGGCTCTGGACCCTCATCTCCTTCCTCCCTTGGGATCCTGGTTGCACATCATCAGCTGATCCTCTTCTACCCTCCAAGCTGCAACACAGCATTACATGGTGTATCAGCAGATGCTTCATACTTAAAAGAGAAGCTTCTGCCAATTGAGCAATTCATAGCTCAAGCAAAAGCCTACCAACAACCTCATCTTGGTGTATTTCAGAGAAAACCAGTGCAATTTTAAGATACAGGGAGATTCATTTTGCTGTGGTATGTTCTGCTTAGTGGGACGGTCTGTGTAAACCATCCAGCATTTTGGCAAAAAGAGAACTTTCACCTTGAGTGCCACCTGGAAAGGACCTCCCTCCTCTACTGCAGCTTTGATCTTGGGTCACTTCCATCATCCTATCAGTGCAGCTGCCCAAACGTCTGTATTATCTGCTGGATGCAGCTGCAGAGTTTTGCTGTTTAAGCACGTCTTGCCTATCTATTTCTGGGCCACGTGTGGTTTTGAGTTAAAATGCACACTGTGTTTAGTGGCCTTGGCTTGACCACTGCAGGTAGGAGGAACAGCAGTTGCAGAAAGTTCTATCAGTCCCCAAGACAGGGGCCCTACTAAAATGCTTAATGGCCACCGTGGCCTGAGCACCCGTCACTCGGAATGGGTGCCGGTGTTCCGCTGTCCTGAGGCAGGCCCCGCGGGTGTCAGCCCCGGCCACAGGAAGAGCGCCAGAGAGCCTCACTCTCCGTTATTAGGCAGCACATGGAGGTTAAGTAAGAAAACGGTGTGCCATTCCAGTTCGTCGCTCTAGAGATGGGTTTCTGCAGCACTTTCCAGGCACCGCATGGCAGAGCGCTGAGCTGCACTTCTCTGGGGCTCTCCCAACAGAAGACAACAGGAGGACACTGCTGTCTCTGACCTGTTGCCTATTAAACCGTTCTGCTTTGTGACATAAACTTACACAGTCACGTTACACAGTACCAGTATGAACACACATAAGCCCATTCGCATTAGTGGAGCAGCCTTAGGGAAGGATGTCGTGAATAGATGATTAAGTCATAAGCAATGATTTGGGGATGAACTCTGAGACTCTAGTTGCATTCTTCTGACTAAATAAAACTGGAGGTATAAAACTTTCCCAAATGGAAAACTATTGTGTATTAGAAAACACTGACAATTATATTTTTTTAATGTTATCACATCTCTATTTATAATGCATTTTCCTAATATTCATTACAGGGAGATAGAGTTATTCTTCTCAAAAGAGTTGATCAAAACTGGTATGAAGGTAAAATTCCAGGAACCAACAGACAAGGCATCTTCCCTGTTTCCTATGTAGAAGTCGTCAAGAGGAATCCAAGCAAAGGTGCTGAGGATTACCCTGACCCTCCAATACCCCACAGCTATTCGAGTGATAGAATCCACAGCTTAAGTTCACATAAGGTAAGAAGACATTTAACATATTAGGATAACATCTGGGAGCTTGGAGCATGACACACAGTAGGTGATTTTAGGGCATTAGACTGCAACATCATCCTTATTGCAAAGCAAAAGATTCACATGGTATGCTTATAAGTGTGAGTGACAAATCAAGACAATATAATTTAATTTTTCATATGGGTGCTGGCATAAAAGTCTAATGCTTGATTTTGAGAATTTCATTTTTGAATTAAAAGACTGAAAGAGAAGAGCGTTAGTATCATAAGACCCTATATGATATATACACACACACATACTGAGTAAGTATATTTACTTTCTGAAAAACTCAAATTTTTTGAAACTTGAATTTTTCTAAAGCTTAGTTTTATTTATATATGTATATTTTATATAGATCATGTGTGTATATATGTATATGTACATACATACGCATCTATAAATAAATGAATAGACCCCAAAATGGTATATTTCAACAATACATGGAATTAGGTTGAAAAACTCTATAAAAGTCTTAGAGTTTTTCAATATAGAAAGAGAAATAGAGTAAACTTTTAGAATTCAGATACGTGAGTCAGTTTGTTTTTGAGTTTGAATGGAAATGTTATTGGTCATTAGAAGTCCTCATGTATATTTTATTAGTTTTAGGTTAATTAAGTGCCAGTTAATTAAGTGCCAGTTAATTAATTAAGTTGAGATAGTGGCTAAAGATAATTCTCTTTCTGAATATCTAGTCTAAAAAAGGAACTGGTTAATTAGAAAAGGCTGTTCTATTACTTTTTTTTACTCATAATGTGAAATTTTTTTTCTTAATTTTCTATTAAGTTATAATATAGTGTGTCCTTCTTATGAATGATACTTAGGGATTTCTTTCTCTTTTTCATTAACTTCCAAGTATGAAACTTTAAGTTACCAAAGCAATTAGTTCCAACATATTTTAAGTACTTCCCAACATTTAAAAAAAGTATGAAGTTGTATAATTTATTAATTATTTTAATAAATAATTAAGATCAAGTCAAGGACATGGGAAAATAAACCATCTAGAGCTAGCAAAATAATACCAACATATCAGACATTGTTAAACTGTACCATCACTTCATGTTCCAGTGTAAGGTCATTTCAAGATAATATCCACAGTGACCTAAACTACTCCTTGAAAATGAGTCTTTGAAGGATATTACAAAAGCAAATAATGTAAGGATCTCCTATTTTAAGAGAAGCATTTTCTTCTAAAAGGGCTAAGGCTAGGCATTGTATTTATTCTACTTCGCTTTGAAGACTGAGGCTCAGTTGTGGGGTAATTACTCTCACTTCTTTCTCATTGAATAATGGGACCATTACCATCCAGTTTTGGTTCATTGGTAACAAAGTTTTCCATAATCTTCTTGAATATATTTACTTTACCACCAGAGCTTAACATTTAGAGATCAACATTCTGCCTTTAGTAATTCGACCAATAAATGAAAAGTAAGAACCTTCATTCATGTATTTGGCTTATCCACCATTCAGCCATCTTAAACAAAATACCAGATAAATTTCAAAGCAACTCTACCTTCAAATAAAATTTTATAAGAATAAGCATGTAACTACAAAGGCTTATTTTAATATTTGAGAAATTCATCCGTAATGTCCTAATTAATATTGGCAATGTAGTATTTTAGATCACAATGTTTTAATCTTTGTTGTGAATATGACTTAATTGGATTTTGAATCTCCCAAGTTTTTTCTTAGAATATCAGATTTTATATTTTATAAATAGAGAAATGTACACATTTCACTAATAACTAATTAGTGTTTTATTCTCACTGCTGGGGAAAAATATGTTGAAAAGCTTACATATATAATTTGAAAAAAAATACTTAATAGTTTTATTCCATCTGACAATCTACGCTGTGATGTGATTGGCTTCATGAAAGACAATTCTCGGTAGTGTTGAGCTCCTTCAGTTTCAGAAAAAGAACTATAAAGTACTTTTAAATGATGACATCCAAAATATGTTACATATCCTATTTTCTAACTGATATTTGCAAATAAAGGGAGGAATTTATTGAGTGATTTATGAATCGCTCTTTGACACACTCAAATCACGTTTCTCAGTATACTTATTTTAGAGACAACTCAAATATAAATTGATAATATTTCTGATATTCCTGCTTTAGAATCCAATTCCAATGCTTCTGGAAGATAATTATATGATTTTTGTGTCATGGGTATATTTCTGTGATATGGGTATCCCAGAATCCTTAATTTGACTTCCAGTAGAAACAAGCCCATTGTACAGCTAAGCACTTTGAACCTGTTAGCACACAGGGTCTGGCACACATACCGCCCCAGGTTACTAAAGTAAGATACCACCCACCAGCCTCTCTCAAGGCCTTCATATGTATGGCTTGTACCATTTGTTCCAGTCCAGAAACAATAGATTCATATAGTAGAACATCACTAGGCAGTGCTTCTAGAACTTCAAGTACATTTACATAAAAATTCTGTTCTGTTCCATATATCCAGAATATAGCAATAATATTAAGATACACAGAAGTATATTTTTACTTCAGAAGATTAAGCTTCATAAATTACACCTCCCCAGGTTTACATAAAACATCCAGCTGTTAGCTCTGCTGCAGGAAGCAGGAACACTAAACATGCTCAGAGATTGAAAAGAGGTTTAATGATTGATTTCCATTCCACATTAATATTATTTCAAAGTCATTTTTACTACAAAGTCAATATCTGGGAACCTAGTTTAAAAGAGATAGTCTGTTAAATTAAATCTCAAGGTTTCCCCATCTGTCCTTATAATCCCTATGACATCTTTATTTTGTCATTTGACACTTCAGACCTCTTCCAAATACTAGGAGCATTTCATTTTTCAGATAACTTTCTAATTAACGTGCTAATGATTTTATGTATTTAAATTCAGCAAAATATCTTCTAATCTACTCCATAGCATAAAATATTTTTTGTATTCACTACCATCCCATTTCTGCATTTCTCTGTCTGTGTCTTGATGCATTGTTATTATTCTCGTGGCTTATTTCTTTTTTTACTTCATAATCCCTGCTCCTTTCTAAGTCGGCTCCCGGTGAACGAGGCCCCTCTTTCACACCCAAAGCGTCCCCTGGTCCTGAAAACGGAGCTCTCCAGGGAATCTCCCAGGGGTGGCTGTCCCTGACGGCGACGTGTCCGCCAGCAAACCCTTTGACCCCATCGCCACCTCCTTTTCTGGACAACTTCTTGGAAGAATTAGAGAAGCTCAGCGCTTTAACCTTGTCAGCTGACCAAGCCAAACCAAATTTCCTAGAGGAGATCCCCCTGGAAATTAAGGAGGAACCCTCAGATCCCCTGCCACTGCCTCTGGCATGTGTCCCTGCCAAAGCACCCTCCTCTCAGCCACCTTTACCTGGCTCAGGTGTGACTTCAACTACAGCACAGCCTTATGAGGCAATTCCACCCCAGGGTCCCAGGAAGACAACTCAGAGCAAGTGTGCGGATTTGGCAAAAATGAGAAAAGGCTTTGCGGGCCCTGAAAAGGTGCCTGAAGTCCTAGGCGATAAGTTTGTGGCCTCCGCACACACTACCATGGGCCCCCTGCCCCAAACCCTCCCTGCCATTGGAGAGGAAGACGAGGAAAGCTGTGAGGGGGTTATGTCAGGCGCCCGAAGAGGGCCAGGATCTCAAGAGCCAGACGCCTTGTGGTGGGGCCCTGGTGACCCAGAGGTGACACCAAGCCTGCACATTGAGGAGGAGGAGGAGGAAAGGAAGTCTGACAGCTTTCAATGTGCGGCAGCCTCCCTCACAGACCCTAGAGCCCCGAAGGAAGACAGCAGTGCAGCTCAAACCGGTCGCAAGGTATTTTACTGTCACCTAATCCCTGAAGGGCTAACCAGTCTCATGACGATTAGCCAGTACCGTTAATCCTATTAATCAGCACTGCTTTGGAAGTTTTCCATATAAGAAACAAGCACTACATGAGATGGGGGTGGAGGGGTGTATGGAAACTCACCAAATTTTAATAAGATGACGTAGATGTATAATATAATTCCATTATTTATTCACGACTATAAATTCATATTGAAAGTTTTTATAATTTGTCTAATTTTCCAAAATTGATAATGATAGCTAATAGGTAAGTTCTTCCTCTTTGTTAGACACTATTCTAAGAACTCCACATCTTTACTTTTCAAAAGATGGGTTACATGATTTTTTCCACTTTAAAAATGAGGAAATTGATACAAAATAGATTAGTCCAATTTCAGATGAGAAAGCTACCATATCTTTTATATAATGGCAGAGAGAGAGAGAGAGAGAGATGGGAGGAGGGAGAGAGAGAGAGGGGGGAAGGAAGGAAGGAAGGGAGGGAGGGAGGGAGGGAGGGAGGGAGGAAGGAAAGGAGGGTTCCCTCTCGACTCTTTCTGAAGAAGTAATTTTCTTCAAATTGTTGACTACTTAAGAACTGGGTTCTGCATTTTCATTTTAAACACAAAAAAACTTGGGCAATAATTTTAATCAGTAAAAAGGGATAATACCCTGACTTTTTAGCCTGTAAAGCTCTCTCTTAAAAAAACAAAAACTTGACATCTCAAATATGTAACCTGTGAATTAAACAGCAAATAGGATTACTGGCAAATATTGAAAGTATGAAACAAAAAGGATGAATCATTCATACTATGTCACTAGGCAAGTCACTATCCCCCACGGGTCTTCTATGGAAAAATCTTCTGAAAATGAAAATCATTTTTAAATCCAATAGTGTGCTATTAAGATCTTACTCATAACAAACGTAGAGGCACTTGGCCTACACAGGGTCTTCCTGGGCTTAAATAACGGTCAGTGCCCATGTGGCCCCCAGACAGTCACAAAACCCAGAGGCATGGCTGGGGCCGTTCTCCAACCAAGAGAGAAAATAGCACCTGAACGACGACGAACCCACCCACACCTGCATCTGTATAAACTAAACACACGACTTCATAATAGAGATCATTCATTGCAATCAGTCAAGTATGGCTCTA